CCTGCTATAGGTGAGTCTTCTATGATTATCGCAGTTCCGGCTGTGATCCTGACTTATGACTATACAGACAATGCAGCAAAGCGCATTCGCGATGGACCCTCCTGATGTTCAAAAAGGTATTTGCTACTCATACATGTTAAAACATACTAACACGAGCCCAGTGCCACGTCCACGTCCCGTGCCTAAGGGAAGGCAACCTGTTCTGACCAAGGCCATGCGTCTCCTGCAAGAAGACGAAGACTTGCGGAACAACGATGGAGCCATACACCCCGAGACCTCTGCGGATCATTCATCAGAAACACCTACTCTTCCGGCAGTTCCATCTCCCGCACACGACTCAGATCACCCTGCAGAGCCTGCACCAGATGATGGGCAGTCTGTCCTTGTCCCAGACGCCCCTCTCCCACTACCCTCAAATCTGCTGCACTCGTCATCGGAGGACACGCGTCTCAGCCCCTCACTTTCTGGCCACAATGTACCAGACTCTCACCATGCTGACCCACGCGGGGCAGACAACACACACTTGCGCGAGCCTCACGACAATTGGCGTCCTCACAATCGCGGTCAATCATGGGAGGCTCGTAACGCAAACGACATCCATGACCTCCCACTCAATGATGGCCGTGACCTGCACCCTCGCCGAGACAACTCTCCTGCACTACTTGATGACCGTCGCCACCCCAACGATGATCCACGCAGTGCGTACATGTACCACGAGGACTTAGACCGACATGCGTATACCAGACGACCACAACCAGGAGGAGACTACCCTTATCACAGGGAGTATCCGTATTACGGCGACCGGAGCACAGGCTATCGTGATGCCACCGGGTATGGGCGATCATACTATCGTGATGCGCGGTACCCAGACCACGACGCACGGTACCCAGATCGTGATGCGCGGTACCCAGACCGTGAACTTCTTGATGACCGCTTGCGTGGACCTCCCCCACTGGATATTCGTGGAGAATACATGCATCCCACAAATCGCGAGGGTCATGCTGGCTACGAGCGTGCATATCAGCGCCAGCCTCCTCGAGGAGATGGACGCCACAGTACCCGGAGTCCCATTGCCAATATGTCACTCACCTTACCTGGTCAGGTGACAGAGCAAGAACAACGTGAAGGAGCCGCCATTCGAAGGTAATTGTGAGGTGCCTATTGTCTTGCTGCGAAAATCATGCTGTTCCCGCTGTCTTCCCCTCGTACCATACCATGTTCCATCTCTCGCAATGTATGTTTTGTGCCGCTGAAAATAAACATGTTGTTTGTTGACTTATTACATGAGTGATCTCCTTGGGTGAAATGAGTCAAATATAAGTGCTTAATTGTTGGGCGCATCGTGCAGGGAATAGTATTATGACATACGAATATAGTAAAAAAACATACACACGAGTATCTACTATCAAGGAGCGCTTAGAGGTGCAGAGGAGGGTGGACGAGGGTGAGGAGGCTATGTAGAGGTCTCGCAGAAGCCTCTACTAGGGGAGGGCCAAGAGGAGGAACGGGAGCACTGAGACTGACAGAGGCTATGTAGAGGTCTCGCAGAAGCCTCTACTAGGGGAGGGCCAAGAGGGGGAGCGGGAGCACCGAGACTGACAACAGAGGTTACACGAGGGGAGAGGTACTCACAATACTCAGAGAGGTCTCATGACCTCGCGAGAGGGGGGGTCTCACAGACCAGTTGCGCTCTACAAGGAAACCGGGTCTCTTAGACCCTGGGAACGGGAGGAAAGTGGTGCCAAGGGTGGTTTCCCCACAAAATTTCTGCTGCTTACGTCACCGTGTTCTGCAAATTTAATTTCATATCTATCGCTGATCGAGATCTGATCTTCAATCGGTGTGCCGGTCCGATGGGCCGCCTTGGGCGTCTTGCTTCATCAACCCCGCTATGGCAGTAGCTATAATTAGTCTTCAACTACTCATGACTCTTTATAAAGTCCTCGGATCTGCTGTTATTCGTGTCGACGATGCGAAACTTGATTCGACTGTTTCATGATTGTAATGTACCACGAACTGTCGCCGATCATCACGGAGTGTAGAGTCCACTCTTGGGCCGGTGCGTGTTCCTACCGTGAACGGTAGCTACATATCTTTCGGCCCGTCAATCTGAGTGGATGCGATGTCGAGCTCGGTCGTGATTGGTTCGCGTTTGTCAATGCAAAGTACGACACTTGAGGTTGTTCGCACTGGCCACACAATAACAAACAATACGAGTTCCTGAATCCTGACCAAGGACCACTCACATGTATACAAATCCACTATAAGTTCAAATTTTCACTGGACAACTAATGCAAGGAGAAAAGGCCAGGAGAGACATGTAAAGATATGATAGGATGCTTTAACGCTCTCCTGCATTGACCTATAATCACACCAGCAGTCTCAGGCATACCTCTCGATCTTAATCGTTATACTCCTCGAGCACCTTAATGGCATCAAACTCATTTGACTTTCCCTCCGCAGGCATGACCTTCCAGCAATTACTCTTACCCAACAAGACGGCCAGGAACTTGAAGTCGTCCTGTGGCCGTGGTGCATACTGATGACAGCGAGAATCAACACTATCCTGCGTAGGCGTGCGCCGACGGGCATCCATGATGAGCCAAGCTGCCGAAGCTGCTTCTTGGCTTCATCCACCTTTCTTGCAGGATTCTTGTCTGTCTGTAGACTCGGCTCTGGGCGAGTACTAATGAATGCTCATAATGATATGGGCTCATCGTCTGGGTTAGGTGGTTGGACGGTGAGTATTTGCAAGATACAGTAAAATGACATACGCACCAGGTGGTCAAGCATTGACAGTATAAGAGGCGCCTTCGAGGAGTCGTTGACTTCGAAGAGATCGACGCTCAGTTGGTTACAGGTTGACAAGGTAGTAAGGTGTGATTGAATATATAATGTTATTAGGGCTGGCAGTAAGAACGAATAGCAGAGTGGAGTTGTGATGGGCAAAGCCGTGCGGATGGTGTATAGTCAGTCCGAATGAAGATCGGAAGAGATGAAATGCGACTCGTGACCACAAACGAAGCTTGGGCGCTTCAGCTGCACAGCCGAATATGCTGTAAGCTGCGAAGTGGACACCAGGATAACGGAAAACGTACCGGCTCAAACTTCCAGTGCACTTTTGACCTAAACGCTCATTGAGTCTTGGTATCAAGACATCGACACACGCTCAGGAACGTATTGTCGTAAGTGATGCTTTTCGACTTTGTTGGATGAAAGCTGAAACGGAACTGCGCCTAGTAGTCAATTATGTCTTCACCTATCGTTGGAAGGCAGGAGGCATCAAGGATAACGCCCTGCCAGAAATTTGAAGGACACACGGGCTGGATTGGTGACGATATACTACATCTGCCAGGCGGAGAGCAGATAATGACTTCTTCATCGGACGGCTTGCTTCGGGTATGGAACATGAAGAGTGGGAAACATATTGGCAACGACTGGCGAGACGGAGAAAGTCCAGTGTGCACGATAGCGTTGTCTCCGGACAGGAAGAAGGTGATTAGCTTGAGTGAGGATGGAGCGAGGTTGTGGGACATCGACACAGGGAAAATCATCGAGAAATGGATGGGACATACAGAGCTGGTGAGTTCTGTCTGCTGGAATGACGATGGTCGGCAAGTGTTGAGCGGATCTAACGATGGGACTGTAAGAGAGTGGGATGTAGCGAACGGAGAGACAACACTCGGTCCAATCGAGGTAGGGTGCCAATACGTGTATCAAGCCGTCTACTCGCCAGACATGTCCATGTTTGCGACTGCTGGAGGACGACCGCGCCGGCGAGTACCCAGTTAAAATCTGGGGTGCGAAGACTGGCGAGCTTATCGCTATGGGCCTCAATGGACACACAGATATTTGCCTGGCTGGACCGCGGATAGAAAAGCGCTTATCTGCGGGTCACGCAATGATGAATTTGCAAGTGACTCAATTGGGATATGGAATATTAAACCTTGGAAAAATGTCTCAGGCGGCTGGAAGGGCACACCCACTATATCTACGACGTTGCGATATCTCCGAATGGCCGCATCCCTCGCAAGCGTATCGGAAGACGCGACAGCGCGATTATGGGACCTTGAGAACGGCCAATCAATCAGCTCGCCCCTCCATCATAATGAAAATGATCCTGTGTATTCTGTATCATTTTCCGCAGACGGAAAGCTACTAACCACTGGGTGCTGTGACAATAGCGTATACATGTGGGATGTCTCTGCGATCTTAAAGAACCTGGCCTCGAAGACTTACTATTGGACCAGCGCGACAAGTCGGCACTCACTGTACGTGACACTTTCATCACAGAGTTCCTCGTTGCATTTAAACATATACATTCTAGACCATTAATGCAACACGACGTCCTGTCCAGCCAATCAAGTTTTCCAACCGGGTACCCCGGGGTTTCTTCGATGACTTACCATATCCTCACGTACGTCGCGCATGTCTCAACTAGTACTGTTTATATTGACCTTGATGTTCTCAGCGATCTGCGCGACCCGATCCCCACGATGCGCCATCCCAATCCCTGTTTCAATGGACTCGAAATATCTTCTCCGGAAGACCTAGTAGTGCTCAGATCGAGCTGCAAGAGCGTAGCCGTTGACGTCCCATATGCTAAGGGCAAACACGTATGTCATTTTCTCCCCTCGGGTATTCAAACACAATCTCATACCACACAGAGGAACGCGTGTGCAAGAGAGAAACGGAGACCAGCTTTGAAAATCCCCACTGTAAGCAGTTTACGCCCTCCCAATAGCAATGTCGCACAACAAGCCAGCGGCGCAGCTCAGGCCCAGTCATCTTCGCAACCACATGCAGCTGCTTCCACCTCCACTGCACCTCCCGTCGTCGCTAATACAACTTCCAGCACTAATCCTCATGTATTAATCAGACACGCTGGACGCTGGACTCGCTTCTGGCTCTTTATCTGTTGTGCCTCTTCTGAGTATACCGACGGTCAACATTAGCTTATTTTCTCGTTCTTTACGAAGATGTCCGTTTTCATCTGATGTGCCACGATGTTCATCTCATCCCTGCAGCTTTATGGAAATATAAAGTTGTTTCCTATTTACACTCGCACCGACCATTTTCAACTGATGTTTCATTGTCCCACACAAATAGCATCTACTCTAAGATCTAAACTATGCAGAGGGATCTTTGTATGAGTCCTTTGAATAGCATTGCGAGGTAATTACATGCCCAAAGTGCACCTTGAAATATTGCTGACTATAAGTACGGGCTCGTCCACCATCTAACGGTTGCATCTCATATTTAGTCGCAGGAGATACAGAGTAGAGAGAAAATAAAACAAAACAAAACACTTAAACATCAAGTACCGGTGTCGAAAATCGACCTCCTCCAATTTCAAATTGCATCTCAGATACATCCGTCAATGTTGTATGGATTCGCGATCGTCCTTCACTTGCTCGTAGGTTGAAAAGGATCCGAGAGGCTAGAACACTGTGGATGACAACTTGCGGACTAGTCATGGTCAGTTGGTGATGTGGTCGTGCAAGTTGATGTGCTCACGAGTCTGTGATCGAAACCCATGTGAGCTGTATTCAACGATAAGCGCATGGATGGCTGGCCAGATGTACTGCAACGCACCGGAGGAGCCATGGTCAAAATTATGCTGAACGAAGACATGACTTGATAAATAGTAGGAAGTCAGCCTACGGGTAGTTTGGGCGAACAGAGTCATCTTACCCATGATGTACATCATATATCTCAGCGAGTCGCTAAAAAACGTTTCTTGGAGGGGTCCGATGGCATCGCTGTACTTTCTGAATCTGATGTACAACATCAAGCACGAGAGGACTGATCCATACATGAGTCCGAAAATCTTCTCGAGAGACAAGACGACTGACCCAGTTCATAGAGAAACAGAGCGGCGTACTGGAAGACATTACCCCTCCCGCTCGAGAAAAGACAGCTGGCCGGATCCGCTGTCCACCCTCCATGAGCATGATTGTCACAAAAATCAAAGACTACTTCACAAACGTATATTAATTGGGAACGCGTTTTCGTACTCAAAGACTACTAAGGGAGAGTGCGATAAGACGTAAGAGATCACGAAACAAACCTAGTAGTAGTTCAGCATCAAGCCTTCTATGGTGAAATGGGAACGAAAAACATACGACGGGAAAAACCAAAAGGAATGTCAGTAGACGTTTACTCTTCCAGGAAGCATAGATTCTCGTTATTAGCAAGCCTAGAAGGAAAATGTCAACATCGGGAGCTCATTTAAGACATGACGTACCTTCTGCGGCTAGAATGCAGATGATATGCAACACTGCGTAGTAAGGGGTGGATGAGAAAGTAATGTACCGCAGGCTGTGCACGCTAACCGTTTGACGCTTGCCCGAATCTAACACACTGCACGGTTGCTATGAACATTGGTACATTGAAGGGGTGCAATCACTCACGCTTTCACCAGGATAGTATTGTGTTCGAAGGGCAGCTATCCATCAGTCATGAGGAATCGTTGCAAAAAGCGAGTTAGAAACACGTGTAGCTCACCGATGAATGTCATCCCAATGCCAAAAAATGGCAAGTATCGTGATACAGTGAATATAAATCGCACAAATGTCCATTTGCGGTGCCAGACCCACTTTGACTTTGGGATGGTCATTAAATAAGTAAGGTGATCAAGCGTACTACACGCACCTCTGCCTCTAGGGTAATGAAAGTAGTCAAAAATCTAAGGAAGAACGTCAGCATCACATACCAAGTCAGCGATTACACTGACTAAAACAGCAAACATTCCGACTGGTATTTCAGTCAGCCACGGTATTCATACAAGCATCAAATAAGAACAGTACCATTGGAGTACTGGGTGGATTAAGAGTTAATCAAAGTTGTTTAGAGCTCGACTTGTTGCGCACCTTAGATGCCTGAATGCCAGCGTCGACGTACAAAGCAATAGGCTGACTCATCGAGTTTGTGGAGACCAGATCGACGCTTCTCGTTGTGCGTTACTCGCAAGTTCACCATTTAAGCACCCACAAGCAATGGCTGTGTTACAGCGTTTACACATCATTGACATGCCAAGACATGCCAAGCATTGCAACATCAACGCCGACGCCGATCAGTAGAGCGATCAAGGGGTGAATGAATGCAGGACTCAGATCAATCATTATCATTCATGATGAGACGCTACTGCACTGCCTTTAGTGGTTTACCTGCAACTCGCGAGTAAGCAAGGTAGAATCTAGATTCGCTATCATATCCACTTGAAGAATGTTGCTGACGGAAAGCCAACACGACGCCGCTACGCTCACATGCATCTGACCAAGCTTCTAGGTATCCAATGCAGAGGTTGCCAAACAGCCGGGGAATTACTTTGCATTTGTTCTTCCACTTGCAGTAGTCTCCAGTGACAATCTCAAAGGTCCCAAATCAATCTCACTTGATAACATCGATGCTGAGTTTGCTCTACTTGAAGATATTCGTAATGCGGAAAAAGCGATGGACACGGAATTTGCCTTGGATTGTGGATGGAAAGGAGGTTTTGGAAGGGAGACTTTGCAGAACTGCAGCACGCTGATGAGGGATTAGTGCCTGCAGCAATAGATGATGGGATTATGATCACTGATCACCTAGAAGGCTAGAACTACCTCGAGAAGACAGTTCTGCCCACAACACTACAATAACAAGGCTGTAGGACTTGAATCAACAACCATCATTCATGCGCATGACAGTGATGAGACGCCACCGCACTGCCTTCAGTGGCTAACCTGCAACTCGTCATTGATTCATCAGCAAAACCGCCCGAACCAGCTGGGAAAAGGGTTTTGTCAGGCGTTAATGCGCCATGGTTCCCCCTGCTGCTTACGTGTTCTGCGTGACGCTCAAATTTAATTTTATCGCATCGGTTCCTTCAATATTGTAATGATTAATGATGTGCGCCAGTGCGATGATTGTCTTCCTTCAAAGCTTCAAAGCTTCATCAATAACGTTTATGACCAAACAGTCCGTCCGTTGTCGCGCGTCCTGGACTTTAGGAGATTGGCCACCCCACTCTATCCCTCATGATGTCTCAACGTACCTTGTCCATTCTGCTGTGTATGTCTGTGCTCCCGCATTTTGTACGTGGTCATAGCAGTCTTTCAAAGTCCTCTCACTGGACCATGTGGGTGCGATTTAGAACCTACTGTTACAGTTGTTTTGATGGCATCTCTTTGTCCATTGGTGTGGATGGCCTTCGCCAGACTTTTGCACGCTCGCATTTCGAATCTGATGTTTATACCCATTACAGCGTCTTTCGTCGTTTCGCAGCGCCCCACGGTACTTTTTTTTGCCCACAGCTGCATATTCAGCAACGTTGAGACAACAAGATGATCCTCCGTGGTTTCATTACGAGGACGCCTCTTATCACCACAATTTGCAGAGCTAGCCTGCTCCTGTTTTGGCGTCTACCGCCAAGGCCTTGGTTCTTCGCAAAACTTCATGCCGCACCAAGAAAGACGCAATCTCTGCTATCTTTGCCCCTTTCTTCAGTTGGCGTACTGAGCTTTCACTAATGACTGATGCATGTCTTGTTTGGGCAGTTGTCCAATGCATCATTGCCTGTGGGCTGTATCCCATCGCGGGCCTCTCATTGCCGCTCATTTTTGTGACGTATTCGGTCACCAGATTGCCTGCTCTCTACGCCAACCGCCGTCTCTCACAGCTTTTATCGACGTCGAAGCCACGATATGTGAAGCTTCCACGTCTTTGCATATGCCGTGGCTAACCTCGCCCTTGGCTGATTTGTCCTGTGCCCTTCGTGCTCTGAACCAGCCTCAAAGTCTCATGTGTCCGTCAGCAGCCTGAATGTGTGCGTTCTTTCATAAATACCCAAACTCATCGCCGAGCGTGCAATGGGCTTGCCTATGCTATCATATGGAATCTGTGCTTTACAGCGCTGGCACCAACACGTCGGGTAATATAATCACCACACTTGATCAGGAAAAGGCGCTAGATTACAACAAGATGGGTCAACCTGGAAGAGGTCTGGAATGATATTGTCATTGATGTAGTGGGGTGACACAAGAACATGAGCAGTGCGTGATACAACAAAGGTATCAGATTGAGGAATTGGCTGGATAACGGAGTCAGGGGCTGGTGCTCGCCGCCGCTACGATTAGCATGTAACATGAGATACACACGCAGTAGGACCAGCCCTACATTGTACACATAACTTATGTTGATTAAACATCGGATACCACTGTCGAAAATCGGCCTCCTCCAAACTGTATCTCAGATACTTCCGTCAGCGTTGTATTAATTTGTGATCGTCCTTCACTTGCTCGTAGGTTGAAAAGGATCCGAGAGGTTAGAACACTGTGGATAACGATTTGCGGACTGGTCATGATCAGTTGGTGACGGGGTCGTGCAAATTGATATGCTCACGAGTCTGTAATCGAAACCCATGTGACCTGTATTCAACGATAAGCGCATGTATTGCTGGCCAGATGTACTGCAACGCACCGGAGGAACCATGGTCAAAATTATGCTGAACGAAGACACGACTTGATAAATAGTGGAAGTCAGCACGCGGGCCAGTTTGAGTGAACAGAGCCATCTTACCCATGATGCACATCATATATCTCACTGAGTCGTTAAAAAACGTTTCTTGGAGTTGTCCGATGGCATTGTTGTACTTGCTGAATCTGATGTACAACATTAAGCAGAGAAGAACTGGTTCGTGCATGAGTCCAAAAGTCTTCTTGAGAGACAAGACGACCGACCCAGTTCATAGAGAAATAGAACGGCGTACTCGAAGACATTATTCCTCCCGCCTAAGAGAAGACAGTTGCCCGGATCCGCTGCCCACCCTCCATGAGCATGATTGTCACGAAAATCAAAGAGCGCATCACAAACGTATATTGATCGGGGTTGTGTTTTTGGAATTAAAAACCAGGGGAGTGTCCGATATGAGATAAGAGACCACGAAACAAACCTGGTAGTAGTTCAGTATCAATCCTTCGCTGGCGAAAAGTGAACGAAAAACATACGACGGGAAAAACCAGAAGGAATGTCAGTAAACGCTTACTGTTCCAGGAAGCATAAATCCTCGTTATTAGCAAGCCTAGAGGGAAAATGTCAACATTGAGAGCTCATCTAAGACATGACATACCCTCTGCGGCTAGAATGCAGATGATGTGCAACACTGCGTAAGGGATGGATGAGAGAAAGTAATGTACCGTAGGCTGTGCACGCTAACCATTTGACGCTTGCCCAAATCTAGCACACTGCACGGTTGCTGTGAACATTGGTGCATTGAAGGGGTGTAATCACTCACGCTTTCACCAGGATAGTATTGTGTTCGAAGCGCGCCTATTCATCAGCCATGAGAAATCGTCGCAAAAGCGAGTTAGAAACATGTATAGCTCACCAGTGAATGTCAGCCCTATGCCGAAAAACGGCAAGTATCGTGATACAGTGAATATAAATCGCACAAACGACCATTTGCGGTGCCAGACCCACTGTGACTTTGGGACGGTCATTGAATAATTAGGTGATCAGCGCACTACACGCACCTCTGCCTCTAGGGTAATGAGATAGTCAAATATCTAAGAACATCAGTATCACATACCCCTAAGTTCAGGTCAGCGATTACACTCACCAAAACAGCAAACATTCCGACTAGATATTTCAATCAGCCACGGTATTCATGCAAGCATCAGATAAGAACAGTACCATTGAAGTACTGGGTGGATTAAGAGTTAATCAAAGCTGTTTAGCGTTCAACTTGTTGCGCACCTTAGATGCCTGAATGCCAGCGTCGACATACAAAGCAGTAGGGTGACTCATCGAATTTGTGGAAAGCAGATAGACTGTTTCTCGTTCTGCATTACGCGCAAGTTCACCATTTAAGCACCCACAACCAATGACAGTGTCACGATGTTTACACATCATTGACATGCCAAGATATGCCAAGTATTGCCACATCAATGCCGATGCTGATCAGTCGAGCGATCAAGGGGCGAATGAGTGATAAGGCTGTAGGACTTCGAATCAATAATTGTCATTGCGCTACTATGAGACGCCACCACACTGCCTTCAGTGACTTACCTGCAACTCGCGAGTAGGCAAGGTAGAGTCTAGATCTAGTCTTGAACTCAGACACCGTATTTTGTGGGAAGGATAGTGGGAATACATGCCCACTACTTCGTATTAGTGGGTTTTGACCTGACCTCCCGCAAACAAGTAATATTGCAGCATGGGGCCAAAAACATGTTAGCACACTCCAACGGGAGTATTTTATGTAAGTTTCATGACGCTCTGTGGCGCTGCAGTGTTCGATAACCTCACTGTACCTGGATCGTTCTTTCGCCGCTAGTACGGTTGCTACAGCTGTCGCCAGTCGGTTCGAACGAGTTGACCTCACTGCTTCACGTTGCTGTGAGCTTGGTCGAGGCCAGCACAATTGGATTGGCCAACCTCTGGAATTCTGTTCTTCGATGAACTTGTTGTTTCCTGTCAGGGTGAGCATGTCAGCTGGTAGAGTTTCATGCTTTCCTGGCTAACATGTTCAAACCGTGCCAACTGTGCAGAGGACTGCATGAAAGCGACGTTGGTATTTTCCGTTGTTGGCGCTGTTACAGTCAGAAGCAGATAGTCATGGTGCGAGCGCTAGGAGCGACGCTGACTAACGGAGAAAGCCGAACCGGAGAATATTGGTCAGCGACTGCGCAAGAACGGAACAAAGTCGAAAGTTCGAGTATACAGGCCAGTTACAAGTCACCTGGCCTTCCCAATAAGTAAGCCTTATTAAGCTTGGTGCTTACGCGTACCGGCAAGCTTAATTAGGCTTGGTTACAGTAAACCTCCAACACCAGCGTTAAATATCGCCCCAAATACCTTTTTACCTTACAGCTACTACTACCTACCCGCTCAAGAGGGTAAGGACTGCCCCCTGCCCTCCCCACGTATACGGCACTTCCCGCGACCTCCCTGATTTACCTGAACTTTGATCAACGGCGGCTTCCCACGCCCTTTCTGCTCTTACCCTACACTGTCGACGTCACTGGGCAGTTACAGCCAACAATCCAGGCATCTGGCTAGTGTCCTAGGCACTGCACTGTCCCCTCAAGGTACCTGCGCTCCCACCATCCTACTAGACCTGCTCTGTACCCACCTGCGTGCCATCCTCCTCATTCCCGCCACCCTGCGCTCCCGCCATCTTCCTAGTTCCTGCCCTGTACCTACCTGCACGTCATCCTCGTCTTTTTCAGCACCCTGCGCTCCCACCATCTTCCTATTTCCTGCTGTGTACCTACCTGCACACCATCCTCGTCTTTTTCAGCACCCTGTGCTGCCACCATCTTCCTAGTTCCTGCCCTGTACCTACCTGTATGCCATCCTCATCTTTTCAGCACCCTGTGCTGCCACCATCTTCCTAGTTCCTGCCCTGGACCCACCTGCATGCCATCCTCGTCTTTTTCAGCACACTGTGCTCCTGCCATCTTCCTAGTTCATGTCTTATACCTACCTGCACACCACCCTTCTCATTCTCGCCACCCTTAGATCACGCTGTCCATCATGCCGTGCGGGACAGGGACTTCCAGGCTGAAAGGCCTTGTGCATAGAAAATTATATCACCATTGCTTGCTCTTAAATCTTCGTCTCCCCAGTGTCAGCTTAGTACTGCAAGACGGTCGAGACAACATGGTGTAGTGGACATTTGCAAGTTCGAGTAGCCTACTGGAGTTGCTGTTATCATACACTTGTATAGTTTCACGAAGTCAATAGCATCAAGTGAAGCATCTTCCCTCCCTATCACATGCCTGAACAATATTTGATTTCTGGAAGACAAAATGTAAGAGTCGGAACATAGAACCAAACATCTAGAAGTGAAAGATTCGAAAATTTTGTGGAGTAGAGGAGTCGAGTCTAGTAGAAGGTTCAAAGGGTCAGAATGAAGTACCAAATTTGTGGAGTCATGAGAAGTGAAAGATTCGAAAATTTTGTGGAGTAGAGGAGTCGAGTCTAGTAGAAGGTTCAAAGGGTCAGAATGAAGTACCAAAAATGTTGAAATTGGTGAAGTCGTGTGGAGTAGAGGAGTCAAGTCTAGTAGATCATGGTGCAATCATAGACATCGTTGTTTCATCTTGATGTGTAGATCCAAAGATTTCGCCTAACCTATCCAACATAGCATCACAGTCCAGGAGAGCACTATTAGTGTCAGAATCATTGCTGAAGTGAGGAGAGGGTGTGGAGAAGCGAGTATCACGAGACACATGAGGTGTGGGAGTGGCATTGGAAGTAGTGTCAGACAGCTGACGAGAGGGTGCGCCAGAGGGTGCACCAGAGGGTGTGTGAGAGGGTGCGCCAGAGGGTGCTGGAGTGGCATTGGAAGCATGACAAGAGGGTGCGCCAGAGGGTGCGGAGGACTGGCCACGAGCCTCATGCTCGTCATTGTCTTCTTCCTCAGCGTCATTCTCCTTATCACTGTCTTCGACAGTAGCTGCACTCTTATACTTCTTGCGGCCGTGCAAGCTAGAATCCATGGCTGTGGGCTTCTTTCGTTTCTTACCCTTGTCAGATCGAGTCCGTCGTCTATGGTCGTGGATCTCGCCATGGTCGAGTTTATCATTGTGCTCCTGGAGAACTTTCTCGAATTCCTCGTCCGTTAAAGTCTTCCAGTGCGTCACACCCGACTTCCACCTCCGGAAGAGCCTGTCGAGCTCTGGGAGGGCGCTAGACACTTGGCTAAGGTTGGCGAACGGAATATTGTCAGGCCACCCCTCTATCATGACTTGGTAGCATTGGACAACGTTCCGGAAATAAAGTGCCCATTGCATGTTGGCGTCAGGGTTGCCAGTGATCTGACCTGTATAGCAGTAAATTAGTTATACATCATACAGAATGGGAGGAGGGACTTACGAAGAGTACTGTTGATAATATTGCGGATGGCTGCCTGTGCTTGAGACACATGCTCTTGGTGATTTTGTGCAGCACCTGGTTTTGTTGTAAATAAGTTAGAGTTCTATCGAAAAAAAGCAGCAACTCGCACCTTTCACACCTTGAACCGCAAAGCCTTCCATCTTACCAAGTAGATCTTGATTGTTGACGCCCATCACAGATGGCATGAAGTCCTGAACGCCTTCAGTCGCAAAGGCTATGCTTTGAAGGGGAAGATCAGTCGACCCGCTGTCCTGCATGATTTGGGAATCATGCATGGACATGACTACTAGGTATCCCCCTAAAAGACAAAATCTGTTAGCTTAGTCCTCAGACTAGTCAACCCATACCTTGGTATCAAACCTTGCTCCAATAGTTTCAGTTTTCCCTCAGTGATTCATGAATCCACCATGTTTTGAAGAAAAGTCATATGTGAGATGGGAATCACATAATGACCTAGTTGATATGAGAAGCAAAAATGAAGGTTAAGGTATTGCCTTTCATTTGGCTTATTCACTTTGGCTAGAGAAACCCATAGAGAAAAGTTCAAAGCCTAACAAAAACCTATCTAAAAAGCCCGCATATTGTGTACTATTATTTGTTCCATTATTTCTGAGTTGTTTTCTCTAGTGTTTCTTTACTTTACTTTTCTATTAGGATGCTCTGACTAATCAGATGCTTCATAAAATTGTACCTACAGGGTATGATGTCATAATGATGTCATAGGACTTCACCTACACTCCTGCAGATATTTTGGTTGAAAGATATGATATCATAGTGATGTCATAATGATGTCATGTTCCATGGAATTTGCTAGAACATTCCAATGACTCATAATGACTCATAGTGACTCATAGTGACTCAGAATGATGTCATTATCCCACCATGAATATTCTGGAATGTTCTTTTGCACCTGCTAGAACATTCTGCTCCAGTTTTTGGAATATTCTTCTCACATTCTGAAGTCATTACATCACCTTTTTACTTACATAATATTCCCACACAAAATGTATATAAGGAGAGCCCATTCTCCCCCAAAAAAATAGATCTCCCACTTGTTGCATTCAAGAATCCCCCTCTTGAGCAAATTGAACTCTCACCTAAGAAGCTTCAGTCTGAACAAATTGCTGCTTACAAAGCCCATTTCCTTTGTAAGAACTGTCCAGGCAAGTGCAGGGAAAGTGTTTCCCTTGAGATTACGTAAGTTTCTTGTGATAGAAACCCAGTTTTGTGAGACCAGTGTTCTCACCACGTAGTGTTTACTGACCAACACGAGCTTTGGTCACCGTTGTTATTTGTGAGACCAGCGTTCTCACCAGGTATTTGTATACTGACCAACACGAGCTTTGGTCATTGTTGTTATTTGTGAGACCAGCGTTCTCACCAGGTATTTGTATATTGACCAACACGAGCTTTGGTCCACATAGTCACATTTGAGACCAGCTTCTCAACAGTTAACTGTATATTCAGGAAACCAGTTCAAGTGTCTAGACGGTATATCCTAGACAATCCCATAGTTTCAATCAGAGATAATAAAGCTCCGGCTAAGTTAATCTGACTGATTGGTTTAGCGAGCCTCCCAAGAACTCACACGTTATCTACCACGAAAGAAGAAAAGTCGTAGACCGTGTTAATCGAGGACTGGCAAGAAGTCTTATCCAGTGTAATTGTGGTGTCATTACATTCTTACACGTATTTATATAAGACCCTCGGTTATTAAGACACCGCGCGTGGTATAGAATATGCTTTCTGCGCCTGTACGACATTGCAGACTTTTAAGCTATTTTAAACACATGTATGAGCCAAAGAAAATTCAGAGGGGGGGACGCAAACCTCAATTTCGACAGCCTTGCCTTGAGTGTTTGAGTGATATCGTTGACCTTCGATTTGGTGGAGGTGCGCACACCAGTAGCCTTTGTTAATGACCAGTCGGCATACTCTTTAAGTAGATCTGCCCGCTCGTCCTTTGAAAGGTTGTGGTACTCGTCCTTATGCTCATGAACAAGCTGTTGAAGTGCGCCTTTGCCTTGGTTGCCTGTAGGAGATACGTCAGGTGCAATACACAGTGAGAAGGAAAAACAAAACTTACGATTTTCGCTGGCCTGGTTTTTTTTCCAGCAGAATGCATTCCATGCGTTCAGCTTGGAGCGCTTAGAACGCAGGATCCCTTGGCCAATGTACAGTTCATTCTGCACACGGCGAATGCTTTTATGGTGAGCTGAAGCGATAGTCTTCGTGGCCTCGTCGATCTGGCCCCAAGCCTCATCAAGGGTGATTTTGAACTGACGAGACTTGGCACGTCGGTTGGCTGTGAGTAGAGCACGGGCCTCTTTGCTTATGACAACCTTTGGACAGATGCGAGGTTGCTGCATGCGGCGCCTGGCGCTGCTCTTGTGGGTGGAGGGAGATACCATGTCTATGAAAAGAGAGAGAAAGCAAGTTAGCGTTGGTACACAAAGTTCGGAGACGTTAAAAACATTTGCGCTTAGACATGATGCCACGGTGAAAAACTGCAAGATAATTATTCACGATCTACAAGATGATAAACAATCCAAAGAGGTAAAGCGCACATAAAAATACTAGAATGCCAAGACACTTCAGAATGACGGATAGCACAGAAGATTTGTGCTAGCAAATTATTAGCTTGACAGGTGTGCAGCCGCAATCAAATTACAAACCTTCACAATTTCAGGGCTGAATGGCACCCCTTGAAAGTCTGCAAGAAGGGCGTTCGCCAAGATAGAGGCTTGCTCATAGTTCAGATCCCACTTCTGGGACCTGAGAACCAACTCCCAACGACTGCTTCGCACAGTTCCAACAAGCACACGGAGCTTGGGCAAGAGCTCATCTCCCAGTTTGAACCGATCAAGAGCAGCATTGGTATTAGGACCGATACTAATGAGCGGAGGACTAAAGTTTATGGCATTGCAACCGAATTCAGGCCGAACCAAAAAGATTGGGCCAGGGACTCTATCAGCAACAAAGACTTCAGCAGCTCGGCGCCGGCGAATCTGTGAACGTGGAGTTAACATGTCTTTTGCAACACTTGCCCCCAGTTGGATTCCTTCAGAAATTGCTGCAGATGCCGGTTTCTTTGGATCTGCAGCAGGAACAGATGAGGTTTGCAGATTCTTCTCGAAGGTTTTTGGTGCTTGTGCAGAGCACGCAATGCGAGCCCCAGTAGCCACGATAGGCCCTGGGAGGTGCTGTGGTCCATTTGTACTGATATGAGTAGCAGGGACTTCACGGATTTGTTAGCGATGTGTTGTGAAAAAAGGGAGAGTTCAGTTTGACTTACAAGACTGAGGTGGTTTGATATTTTCAATGGCACAGCACTTAGCAAAACGTTGGAGATGCGGTATCGCAAACTCTTGAGCGAATGCTTGTACAAGCACCACGACATCTCCTCCAATCTGTTGAGGAACTTCTTGCAGCTCGCGTGGCGTGATATACAGGTCAAGAGGAATTTTCTCGGGTGACATAGTCGGTCCTACTCCAGAACCTGCACATCGAACAAGCAGAGATATACCACCGTCGAGACGGTCCTGCATAGCAATCTAAAGAGTGTCAGATTTAGCTATAAAAAAACGAAGAAATTTGCTTGCTGCGTCAAAGATGTCTTGGAGCGTTGCTTCCACAAGTTCTTTGGGAGATAGTGCTCTCCCTGACTCCAGTTCTTGACTATTAGAGTGAAAGGCTATGTAGGAGGGATGAAGGCCACAAAGTGTCTTGGTATGATAATGCGTGCCGTCAATGTGAGCGTTGTGCCTAAGTAGTGCCCTGGCAGCAGCCTGGCGTTGATTGTTGCTGAAGCCTTGTGCAAACGTCGAGCAATGTAGCGCAGCGAGTCCAGACATTGTGAAATAGTGTGAACCCTGTGTTTCAGTTTGAGACTGCATGGTCATTGAAGACAATATGAGAGTGGTTGTAGAGGTAGCGAGTATTTGCTGTACTTGAACATAAATGGGCTAAAGCATTAGATAACACAAAGTGCAAAAGTCAAATTCTGCCATGGGCTCTACCTTGATATTTGCCAGCGGCCAATTCTTTTGTGAATGTAATGTAAGAGTGTTGACCAGGATCAATCCATTTGAGTTGGACGAGAGTATTTGAAGAGCTTGTAGCATCGGAAATGGATGATCTAAGGTTGTGCGAGGCTACTACTACTAGTAAGCATGCAATCAGATGTGTGATTGACTTGGACAAGATGCAGCGCAGTGCTGCCGATTTGAGATGTTAGATCAAATAAACTTGAATTTCATGCAACAAACCGTTCATGATTTCAGATTCAAGTACTGTGATATCATAAAGCTGTTTCCTAACTCCTAGTTCAATTGTTGCGATCAAGTACTTCAAGTTGAGTCAACTTTCATTGTGAATCATTGCATCAATCACGTTTCCAATCAGTACTTCGACATCATTCTGCTCAACCACATCTTGGCGAAGTTCAAGAAAGATCAGAAATCAAACTCCCATATATCACTGCCGATGCATCTGGTCCCAAGCACATCAACATATATAGGCTTGGACGTGTGCAGCTGGAGAATCTCGTGGAACCTCTTATCAAATGTACTGTTGACCCACAACTTGAACAATGCAGACGGAAATCAACCTCCCATATATCACCGCCGATGCATCTGGTCCCAAGCACATCAACATATATAGGCTTGGACGTGTGCAGCTGGAGAATCTCGTGGAACCTCTTATCAAGCGTACCGTTGACCCACAACAACGCAGATGGAAATCAACCTCTCATATATCACTGCTGATGCATCTGGTCCCAAGCACATCAACATAAGGCTTGGACGTGTGCACCTGGAGAATCTTGTGGAACCTCTTATCGAGCTTACCGTCGACAGTCCCAAGCACATCAACATAAGGCTTGGACGTGTGCAGCTGGAGAATCTCGTGGAACCTCTTCTCAAGCATACCATAGACCTGTGTGACAAGGCTCTTTCTGATGCCGGTGTGAAGGCCAGTGAATGGATGCTGCAGCAGACGAGAATTCTCAAAACCTATGATGCATTGGAATAAGTTTAATAACACAAAACGACACAAGTAAACTAGTCAGTGATCGAATGAAAAAAGTCGGCCATATCCTCTACCACTGTGCTGTGCTCCTCACGATCAATCGCTTCTATGTCAGTATAGTCAGATGTGATAATTGCATCAATGTCGTCAACATTCTGCAGTGCACCTATGAAAGAAATTAAATCGGCACAGAAAATATGCGAGGAGGCCTACCTGAATTTGTATGAACGTCAGGAGATGTTGAAGGATGCGAGGCGGGAGGGATGTTGGGAGTCGATAAAGGATACTGCATGCGGACACCAATGCCCCTGATGCCCGAGAATCCAGCCAGGTGCTCAATACGATCTAAGCGATAGCAATGGACGGCATTGATAGCAGCACGTGGACGGCATTGGCGCTGCAGCTCTGCAGCCAGTCTTGGGTCCGACAGAAGCAAGTCATTGATGACGGCAGAGGTTTGGAGTTCCTCAGTGTGAATTGCAGTGCGTAAGCGGCGAACTTCAACGTTAAGTCGCTTGACTTCTTCATGAGCGCGGCGTAACTTGAACAATTTATTAGTTGCTTCTCGATGGGCCGGTTTGGCCCAATCATTGCTGCGAATGTCGGCACGTGAATGGCGCAACAAATCAAATTCGCCAAGAAAACTATAGTCCGCGATGTCTTTCCACGAAATCTTTGGGCGCGGGGGAGTTAGGGCGACAGCCTGCATGTTATACCGATTTATTGCATTTCGGATAGCCTCGGAACGCCGTTGTAAAGCCTTGCTGATCTGCTGACGTAGTTTGTAGCCTAAGATTTTAATTAGAAGAGAGAATCTATATGGGTACTAATGCAGAACTCACCTGTCCCTGACAACGAAAGTTTGGAAAGCTCAAATAAACGCATGACTACGAGGCGCTCCAGCTCGTCAAGTGCAGCACGATACTTGCCTATACGTGCCTCCATTTTGAATTCATTGTATTCTGGGCCACCTACCTCCCATCGTGCTTCCACAGTGAGCTGAATTTCGACATGCGCCACTAGCGCTTCTGCGTGCTGTAACTTCGCATATGATGAATCGACTTGGATCCGAGCTTGTGTGAGCGCTTCATTAATCTTCTGCAAGCTGCTAGCTGCAATCCCTGTAAGGGAATTATTAGCAGCATCACGTGCTGCATGCCAATCAGTTCTGAGATTGTTAACGTCAGACATATCTACATATAAAAACAACTTACCTTCGTTCAGTTAGTTCATCAAGTGCTTCAACATAACGGATACAAAGCTGGTCTCTTGCAGGCGGCTCTTTCAAGCTATGTAGATAAGCACGTTCTTGCTCGAAGTAGCACAGGAAGTCATCATCGGTAATGTTCAGCTCCGATTTGATAGCGGATAGCTCAACAGTAAGGGTCTCAATTGATTTTAGGGCCTCGCGGTAGTGACTCCACAAAAAGTTGCCTGAGGTACATTAACGTCATCATTCATTTATACACAGTTAGACAAGAACTTACTAAGGTTAGCATATTTGTCGTCATTCCAAAATGCGAAGTGTTGCTCAATGGTCTGATGCTGGTGGAATTTGCTTGCATGTCGGGTGCCACGTGCGAGAGCATTAGATGCAGAAAATACATGTTCACAGCCCTCTCCTTCGCTGTGTCCAGTTCCTGTAATGTACATTGGATGCCAATCAAGTTGACACATGCGATTGTGAGCATGCCCATGGAATGCCCCAACCATAAGACGAAACCCAAGCTCTCGCGCTTGTGGCCCTAGAGCGCTGGTACCTAATGTCTTGGTAAAGGCACAGCCTATATCATATGCACATGCACCGTTCTTGCCGTAGACCGTAAGCAGTTTGTCAATGATGGCAAGTGGGTATTTTGCCCTAATATATTAGATGAAACTTAACTGATGAGCAAACACGAACTCACAATTCTCCGCTTTGGATCATATCACAAGCAATAAGCACGAACCGATGACGACATGCTGCAATGAAGATTCCCGATTCATCGAACACCGAGAACATCTTCTTGCGAGTTTCCGGACCTGCATTTTTCCACCGATCAGCACAACTGAATGGGGCAGGGTTGGTCTCAGCTGCTGTATTCTCAACATCGTTGTCTTCCGCCTATACAGCTGATGAGAACATAATTGTGCAATAAGTCGACACTCACTGCCCGTGCTCTCAATTCGCCGCTGAATTTGTCCACAGACTCTGCATCAACCCAAAAGTCAGAGCGAGCCTTTCAAGAATCAAGTCGTGCATTCGTCCCGTATGTCGTGGAATCCCATCTCTTCAGGCTGTTGTTGCCGTCAATTGATACGAGCCACTCAAATTCCAGATTAGGCTCATCCTCGAGCTTGTAAAAGCATGCAGGACAGGAGTTTAGAAGGCACCAATTTGGAGTATCACGTTTCAGGGCCATGTGAAGGTGTTGGTCCACATGATGGAGAATTTCCAAATAGACGTCGAAGGCAGAAGATAGTTGTGCGGTGAGGTAAGGCCTATAAGGGATCTGTCAAGTCAAATCTCGTTATAATTTATGTAAATGCCCAAACAAACAGAGTGCTTACACCGTGAAGAAAGCAGAGAGCTTTGCACTGCGCTTGAAAACCAAATGAAGGGCACACACGATGTGTTTGTTGGTAAACAGCAAGGGTACAGAGAGATATAGCAACAGTTGGATACACCGGTGCACATCCAATGTAGCCGTGATAAATTAAAGTCTCATTAGGATACATGTGGAAGGGTTGTGATTGAAGCGAAGAGTGCTTTCGACCTGTTTAAATTAGTACTGACAAGAAGAACGCAGTCAATATACGTACTAAAGATATCGATAAGTTCAATTTCACTCAGTGAAACACGCTGAGTATCATCAGAGGGTGATGCTGCAGGTATCCCATTGCAGTTGGGCATGCCATCCCCCAAGTCGCGGTGGTGATAGTCTAAATAGGCCTCTACCAGGCAGCCCATTTGAATGCTCCAGTGGTTCGTTTCATTTTCGATGTGATCAGTACGAGTGCGTGGGTCTACATAGCGGCTCCATATCCATGTGTGTTTGAGATAGCGCAGGTAGTGAAAAAAAAGCACTCACCATCCACTGATCCCAGCGATTTCATGGGCAAGTCCCTTGAATGCCTCAAATTCACCTCCAGCATGGCTCATGTCTAACCCTTCCTCACCTGGGGGGGCTGTGTACAGTTGTGGCTCGACATCCATACCATGGTCAACGATCATGTTCTCGACCATCTCACGGTCCTCAGATGACATCTCTATGGGAAAAATTGGTATGGCGGTCATAGAAAGTAAGAAAAAATACTACATACCTTGAACTAGAGCCAGACGACTCATTGCAGCTGCCTCGCGGCGCTGAGATTGCTTGCCAGCTGTCAACACGTGTGACTGGCGATGCCGCCCTCTGAAGCTGTGTGAGATGATAGATTTAGAAAGGCCTTTCAGCCTGGAAGTCCCCGTCCCGCACGGCATGATGGACAGCATGATCTAAGGGTGGCGAGAATGAGAAGGGTGGGGTGCAGGTAGGTATAAGACACGAACTAGGAAGATGGTGGTAGCGCAGGGTGCTGAAAAAGATGAGGATGGCGTGCAGGTAGGTCCAGGGCAGGAACTAGGAAGATGGTGGCAGCACAGGGTGCTGAAAAAGACGAGGATGGCGTGCAGGTGGGTACAGGGCAGGAACTAGGAAGATGGTGGCAGCACAGGGTGCTGAAAAAGACGAGGATGGTGGGCAGGTGGGTCCAGGGCAGGAACTAGGAAGATGGTGGCAGCACAGGGTGCTGAAAAAGATGAGGATGGCTCACAGGTAGGTACAGGGCAGGAACTAGGAAGATGGTGGCAGCGCAGGGTGGCGGGAATGAGGAGGATGGCGCGCAGGTGGGTACAGAGCAGGTCTAGTAGGATGGCGGGAGCGCAGGTACCTCGAGGGGACAGTGCAGTGCCTAGGACACTAGCCAGATGCCTGGATTGTTGGCTGTAACTGCCCAGTGACGTCAACGGTGTAGGGTAAGAGCAGAAAGGGCATGGGAAGCCGCCGTTGATCAAAGTTCAGGTAAATCGAGGAGGTCGCGGGAAGTGCCGTATACGTGGGGAGGGCAGGGGGCGGTCCTTACCCTTTTGAGCGGGTAGGTAGTAGTAGCTGTAAGGTAAAAAGGTATTTGGGGCGATATTTAACGCTGGTGTTGGAGGTTTACTGTAACCAAGCCTAATTAAGCTTGCCAGTACGCGTAAGCACCAAGCTTAATAAGGCTTACTTATTGGGAAGGCCAGGTGTTACAAGTACTATTGGTTACCACTTGCTCGTGCACACCACATTTTGTGCAGTCACATAATTGTAACGGAAAGTCACCGTGTAGTCACACTGGCCGATTTTGCAGTCCGCTCGACACGCTGTGGATTAGACATTAGGAAGATATATACGAGTGTACCAGTAGCTAGTATGTAGTAATCTAATTGAATATGTATTGCGGATTGCCGGAGTAATATGAACTGTGACTATTAGGATGCCCAGACAGCAATGGCTGTGATACAACAGGGGTGGTTGTTGAGAGTACAGCGGGGCCAACTTGAACATGATGTGACTGGTTTGGATACATAACGGGGAGACTCGGAGATCCTTGCATTTACGGAAACAAAGGTGGTTGTGGGTGGAACATATTGTTGGCTGCCTGTGGGGAGAGAAGTACTGGCTGAAGGTGTTGAGCTTTCACTCGAAGTCAGGTTGGCAATGGCAACAGGCCTGCCAGTGCGTCGTTTCGAACCATATAGCGCTGAAAATCGAGGGTTATCTGCAAGAGCTGCACGAGTGTCAGGATCTTCCAAGTGAGCTTTGATCCGTGCTGAAAGATCAGCAATTTTTCCATCTCTTGAGAGTCCAAGTGCTCCAGCGAGTGCTTCCAGATCTTCTTTCCATTTATATGATGTGAAGGGACTGTCAAATGTTCTTGTCGTGATGCTGTTGACCATCTCCAGTATTTGAGCACGGAGTTTTCGAGGATGTAAAGGGGTTGCTGAATTCGAGTTATGGTGGCACCAGTCCACCAGTACTCTTTCTTGGGATTCGTTGAGGAACAAGCGTCAAGTATGGTGTTTGACTGCCGCACGATCTCGCAGTCGGTGGGAGTACCTGAAGGAAAATTGAGTTGCAACAAAATTGTTGAGGGAGTGCTTACATTGTGAGCTATGGCAGCACTGCAAAAACTGGCATGAACACCAGTCAAGGTATCACGGATGGCAGCCTGAATGCGAGCTTCTTTGGTGGGATCTCAGGGACCTTCCTGCTTCCCACCGACTCGAGTGCGTGCCATCCGTGCAGCGAGTAGACGTGTTGCCACTAACACGTTGAGTTAAAACTCCGCTGCGGCAGCGGACGGCAGGTGACAATGGAAGTGACAAAAGCCTTTGTCACAACCAAACATTTATCTCTCTTGTTTCTTGTCCAAATGCATCTGTCTAAGCTCGTAAGACGTTCTTGTGTATTATTATTTAAAATAGATGTAGTAGTTTGAACATTTTGTAGTAGGAAAAGTGTTGTTTTTGAGGGATGCACGAAATGTGGTGTGCACGAGCAAGTGGTAACCAATAGTAGTTAGCGATGGACAGTATAAATACTAGATAGAAATGATACTTTACAGTCAGTCGAAATAATAACAGGACATTTCACTATACTTCTCACCTTATACTAAACTCATAACATATTGTGCACCTCTGGTTATTAACCAGAGGTGCACAATATGTATCGATGATGTGGTGCAGCGGCGGTTTGAGTGGTCACGCACCCAAAAAGGTAAGTCACAGCCAGCTGGTTCACCGCCAGTACACAGCGTGGTCACACCGGCTGGCTGAACCAAGTACATAGGCCAGTACATAGCACCCTGCAAAATCAACGAGTCAGTGTCCTCTGAACGTTGACACCGAGGCTATTGTGAATATGGGAGAGATGTAGAGCTTACTGGAAGGATCTGCACCATAACTCTAAACCTCCACCCAGGTCTTGATTAGTGATGTTCTGGCCTGGCTTCAAGCCCTGGGCCAGCCCAAGCCGGGCCTAATTGAGCCGGGCCTAGCCCAGGCCTAGGACACGGCCCCACTAGGGCTTTGGTCTGGGCTTTGATTTTGCAAAGCCCAAGCCGCCGGCCTAAGCCGTGGCTTGGCAGTGTAACTGTAGGCTGCATCACTGTGACATTGATCTTGCCTTGTCCCATTGTCATCCCCACTACTTGCCTTGTCCCATTGTCATTGTCATCCTCACTAATCTTGTAATTAACCAGAATTATCTCTCATGTAAAATAGCATGTATAATTATTCCTTGTTCGACCTGATCCAACGTTTTGCTCATTTCCCTCAAGCACTTCAACTTCATCCAAGCTCTCATCTTCTTCGGTCTTCCTCCACTCCTCGAGGGCCGCAAGTTCAGCCTTGTTCGAAGTACTCCTCAAAGCTCTCACCTTCAGCCCTCTTCAAATATTGTGAGGCAAAATACTTTCTTAACCAAGAACCTGGACCATCCTCCCTTGTTGAGTCAGAGGAACTTGACAGCTCTGAATTGGAAGCTGAAAGCGAGGAGGAGAAGACCAGAGATGATGTTGCAGCTGAGGAGGATGGGTGGGATGTCTTGATTTCAGATGACAATGACAATGACAATGACAATGACGAGCTGTTGGACATTGAGATGATCTAGATGTAATTCATGTACTCTGTTGTACTGCTTGGTAATATTATACTACAACTTTGAATGATTTTGCTGATAGCTGAGCTGCGGCCTGGTCCAGCTCAAGCCACAGCTTTAGGCTGGCTTGGGGCTCATGGCCCAGGCTTGAAATCTGGTAAGCCTAAGCCCCCCTAAGCCGAGCCTAAGCTGGGGCTTTGAGCCTAAGCCAGGCCAGAACATCACTAGTCTTGATATGCCGTTGAATGATCATCGGGCATCGTTTGGATCTTTTCTACAGAGAAAGAACATGAATTTTGTGAGTGTCTCTACTTAGTTGATGTTACTGATAAAAGCACGACGCACAGGTTGGGTGCTTCGGCAGATGCTTATGATACTGGCACGAGAAGGAGTAACAGGTACTGTAGATTAATTCAAAATACTTGGGCGAGAGAATAACATTAATACTAAGGCTAACAAGAAGCTATAGGCTAAGGGTAGTCACATGCAGCAGCCATCACCTCCTCAATGTTGCTGCTACCGTTCTTCTGGAGGTAGGTACAGAATGCTCGAGGAGCATGCTCCTTGTCTCATACTTGTCGTGCAGGAAGCGGAGTGCAAGTTTGATGTTCCAATTGGCCTTCTTTGCGAGCTTCTCGATGAGGTGAACGACCTTCTTGCGCTGGCAGTTCTCTGTCCGCTGGCCATCACAGTTGCACCTCCACCTTGCACCCCAGTACTCGTTGAGGTCCCGTACAACCAGGTGCCCATTGAGGCCATTGCTGTGCTCTTCCCAGATGTCTGTGATCTTCGAAACTGTCTAGAACACATAGAAGGGGATAAGCCTCCCAGACTCCCACTCCCAGGTGTGGTGGTGAAGTTTTTCCTCACTGAAACGAGCCATCAGCTCGTCCCAACACTGCTGATGGCACTAACCCACACTGAATTAGATAGGTTTGCTGGTGGAGCAGAAGATGGAAGAGTGGAGGGCACTGTTATGAGGGATGGGGCCTTGGTACTGGCCAGCACAAATGTCGAAGATGGGGTGGGCTGCAGCTTGGGAACCAACAGAGCTGAGAACTGGGTCATGGTAGTAGTAGCAGCTGATGGCACTGTTTCGCTGGCAGCAGGAATGAGTCCAGGTGGTGGAAGGAGTGTGCCTGGAGGATGTGAGTTGAGAGATCGAGTTGTTTTTGTTTGTCAAAAAAACCAGTTTCGTGTAGATGATGAAAGGGAATACAAAAGTGTCACCTCTCTTTGTGCGCCATGAACCTTTTGTCATTGCGATCACACCAAGCATACCTTCCATACAAGTCATCTGCTCCTGCATTGTGTCCATCCTGCAGTTCGACTCCTCTTGTGCTGTCTCCTGTGCGAGTCGAACAGAAACCATGAAACCTTGCACTGCATGTGCATAATTGTTGGGCAAGTTTCAGATGTTGATCTGTGTGTCTTCTTCAGTTTGTGCAATGATGGCAGTCGAAGATTTTGCAAAATCGTGAAATTGTGCGCTTCAGAACAGCGGGAACTTGAAAATAGTGCAATCCAGTTGTTGAGTAAACAGCACCGCAGCATCCTGGAGGAGCACACATTGAAACCAAACAAGAAGCTTTAGGAACTGCCTCAAGGCAATGTCCTTGCCAGTATGGCCAAGAGTAGATTCCCTTACATTGAGGGCAGCTTGCTCAGCCTTGGCCCAGGGAAATACCTGTGAGAGTAGGTCAGCAGGTGGGTCTACACAATTCATCAGCCCAGAATTGCACCTCAAGGCACTAAAGAAGACTTGCCAAGTGCATCACGGGCCAGGAAATGCTCCTCTGGCTTCCTGCCATTAAACATCGACGCTGCTAGTAGAGCATCAATTGGAACTGCCCGGTCATAGCAATTTGCCATGGCATCAGTCTCAGACCAGCGACCGAGAGCCTTGGTGCTGGTGACTGAAGCACTGTGTGCTCGTGCTGTCTGGGCAGCGAAATGACGAGTTGCATAAGTGGCCTTTGTGATGCAGATGTCATTTTTGACATGCATCTGCTTTATATGGTTGTAGTGATCTGCCGATGGAAGGTTAGGTACCCGCCTCTCGCACTACCATGGGGCTGGGAAATCTCACTGTCATAGGACATCTGCTTTTGGGATCATCAGCCCAAAACACAAAGAGCTCGTACCATGGCCGGTAGCCAAATTCACCAAAGCCAGGCACACCAAACTGAGGTGCGAAGTCAGGCACTGGCTGGGAGATGACGTGGAAGTAGGCATAGAGGAGCATGGCCAAAGAGCCAACTGGGCAAAGCTCAACCAAGTGGTGGCATAGGGTGCCATGTTCATCCACTCGACCATGCTGGTTTGTTTTTGCATTGTTGGCGAGTGCTGTCAGGACCTGCTGCAACTGTTGGTCATCATTGAAAGAGAGGCAGGAACTTTGACATACCGCAGGTGCACGACTGCTCGAAATGCTGTCAAGGAAGGCTGATGAGACAAAGAGGTCAGAGAGCTGCAGCATGCAAAGGCTCTCCCCTCGCAATGCTGTTGTCGCTCCAAGCAGGACCATTGTTTGATCTCAAAGGCCAATAAATACCTGGCAAGCACCTGAGGGTTGTGTGAGGGACCACCAGGAACAGCGGACAAGTTCTTCGGTGGTATAGGCATCTGTTGAACAGGAGAGTGAGGTTTGCAATTGGACGTGATGCTCGTGAACTACATTACCATATGAAGCCCCAGAGGCCTTGAGTGTCTGTGCTGTGTCTGCCCACTTTGGCTCATTGCGCTTCGCTGCAGATTCGAGCGTCTGGATGCAATTGTCATCTCGCAAGCGGATTTGTGCCTCTGGGACATCCTTGTAGAGGTGGTGGTGGCTGACCTGCCAGTCCTCGAGTGCACTGATGACCTGCTGGATGACAGACTTGCCAACATTGGAGCTGGGGATGGTCTCTGTGCTCCTGAGCTTCCTCTTACAGCATTCTTCAGTTAGTTTCGGACACTGGATTCAGCTGCCTCCTCACCTTCTTGTGTTTTTTTCGTGGTTGACAAATTGGGCTGCCTTGGTCGCTGTCACTGGGAAGGCAGGAACCACTGTCCAACATTCCTCTTGCTCACTGCACTTGTGCTGGTACTGGTCCCACCACATGACATAGTCACGGACATGACAGGAGTACGCATCTGCTGTGCCTTTGTCAGACTGCTCCTCTGCAGAAATTCGCATCCAGATGCCGTGCAACGTCACGTCAAGGCAAGCTAGTGAGCGGTTGATCCTGATGAGGGAGGATGTAGTATGGTCAGATGGAGAAAGCCCTGGAGAAGGAGAGGGCAATGGTGGTGACCTCTTGGTCACAGTTGGAAGCTTGGGTTCTGCAGTAGCAAAGATGTTTGGATCCGACATGCTGACGTCCAGCAAGAACTCGGGTGACGACATTTCAGTGTCTAGAGACATGCTGGGCAGCTGTGGGCTGATGTAGGCATGCATCGGTGCAGTGAATGCAATCGTTCCTTTCATAAAGAAAGAAAAGAATCAGACAGTTTCTTCAGGACAGAAAAAAACGCGACACTCACAAGGGTTTTGAGCAGCCGGGACTGTGAATGCAGGTGGGCTGTCCAAAGCAGTAGCATGAGGAGCAGCTGATGGCTGTAGGCCATCAGTTTGGCAGCACTTGGAGGTGGTCTGTGCAGGCAGATTGTCAGGCATCGAGAGAGGGTGCTTGCTCGCCATTGAGGCAGGCATGCTGAACGAAACTGCAGAAATTGAGTTGTCACAAGGGGGGTGAGAGCACTGCAAGAGAAGGAGGGGGCAGACGACTCACCTGTTCATTGTTGCACTGGGGGGGAAGGCAGCCTGTTCAGAAGAGAAAGCTTGACCACAACTTGTGTCTTTCCAAGGACACAGCTCCCCGCTTTTTAAGGTCGGCTGATGTGGCCAGTGGTGCATGTGGCGAGTTGCAGAATTCACGGAGATTGCAGAGTCAATAAGAGAATATTGCATGGCAACCTCCTCATGAGAGATGGAGTTGGCGCAATCTAGCCGAGTGGTGAGAGAGGCTGGATGAGAGTTTGGATTAGCGTAGAAAGTATGTAGATATAAGCTATTGTTAGTAGGGCAGTGAACAGAAAGGGAAGGAGGGGGCCTTCGAGCCCATCAGTCATCGTGCATGGGTGTTGGTGTCGATGCAGTAAGCACGCTCATCGTTGTTTCAGCGTGCGGAGAGAGTGGTACAAAGATGACTTACCAAATCGAGCATCCAAGATCAGATTGAGCCCAGCGCCAAATCGGGCAATACATCCAGCAGTTCATTTGTACTTGCCTGGTCACGCTTCCCTGGTTAGGCGGACGTGACCACCGACGTGACCAGGCTGGGCTGGTTCACAGTAGTATACTCTATGTATTATGGACATCACCTGCGGACATCATGGTAGAAGGTTCTGCCATCCCTCCACAAACAACTTGAGTGTGCACATTACAGGTAGACATAGAAGGAATACAAGTCCGCTTATGCAACTTTGGTGGACATGTGGTGCATTTATTTTATCTGCTTACAGTAAGGCTCCAACTATTTCAGTTTACTTACTGTTTTAATTGGGGTTAAACAAGTTTAACCAAGTTGAGTCAATTCGCGACACTGGTTGAAAATTTTTGGCCTTGTGACTCTGTGTCATCATTGAGGCCCCTGTCCTTCTGGATATAAGTGTCTAACTGACGTATTCCGTTTCTGCATGTCGCACACTTGTCCTCTGAGCACTGTCTGCTCGTGCATGTTCTGCACTACTTGTTTTCGTGTAAAATTGAATTATTGTTCTACTCAAATTCAGTCATCCTTCCAAACATATGTCAGACCTTGGTCCTTCAAACAATAATGCCACCAATTCGTCGCAAACCCAACCATCTCTTAGGGGACCTGCAATGCGAGGGGCATCATTTGAGTCCAACACTGATGAATTGCAACTACCCCAACAGGACCTGGCGAAGAGATGCCTTGATGTCGTCCGAGATTTCAGAGCCACTAAGGGAACAAAATTTGAAGCATCCTATGTCATCTCCAGCATCATCAAGGAAAGCTTACCCATCGGTTCAAGAGAAGATCCCACTGCTATTGTGGCTATCTACCTTGCCATGCTTGACCAGTGGGAATCTGAACAGTCTCAAGCCGCTCAAAGAGCGACTGGAGCAGTTAGAGAACGGCGTTCAGTCAAACCAGCATCAGGCTCCCACATTGAAGAAGAACCTCCTACAGAGGATGTCAGGACTCAACAAGCCAGCATTGAGCCAGGTGAACCTGCTCGAAAGCAAGCTTAACTCGACTTTACCTGCCTTGACCTTAAGCTAATGGTTCACCAAGAACCATCTAGACCCCTATCCGCTAATCTCAAACACACCATCCGCATCATACAGAACTGGGCGCAAGACCAGAAACAAGCAAAGCTCAAACTCATGTACCATGAGCGGAGTCCAGATTTTTATGAATACGGATGGGCAGACATCATTGCAGGACGAAGTCTCAACCTTGATGCTATCCACACCATCATCACCACTTCATGCGCCATTGATAAGCATACCGAGGCCATCGGAGATGTTGAGTTCACCTATGGAGTCTCAGAAATGGCCCTGAAGAATATTGCCACGCAGGGACAATGGAATGCGGTGTGGAATAGAGCAGCACAGGCCCTCAAGTTCCCTTTCCCTTTCCGACAGGCTGAACTTGACACCTACTCAGAACATATCAATGAGCAATTTGACCAACAGTCAGAACTTTCTCATGGACAAGTCCTCTGGTACAACAAAGCAGTCAGATTCAGGGTCGGAAATTCTTGCAAGTATGAATTGTCCAACTTCAAATGTTTCAAAGACATCTACAGTGCACATTTCTCCGCTGGAGGAAGGATGCACAATGACACCGGAGAGTCTAGCAAGTCCTCTGGGGGATGGGAATCTACTGTTAAGCGTGAACCATGCCACAAGTGGAATACTGGAGAATGCACATGCAGCACAGCCACCTGCCGCTTTGCCCATGTCTGCAACATTGAGCAAGACGGCCAGGTTTGTGCCCGCCATCATGTTAAAGCGAAGCATAATGAGGACACAAAGTCCAAATCTACCTGAACGATTTCTGAAGTGTCCATTGACACACACGAAACCTGTTTCGTACATGATCATGGGCACATAACATACTCTCGTACAACCTAATACTGCCAATAAAGGCAGTTCTAATTTCTTATGGCTTTACTACAGTTTACTATAATTTTCTTGAAGGTTTTTCATAGCTACATGAATTAATCATTCATATTACGTACTTAGCACAGTCAACAAACTGTGTTAAAAAACCTTATCCTTTCATTAACAAGCACATTCCCGCACCTTTCGGGATTTTCTCATACATTTTCCCACCTAATGAGCCATATTTGTGTTAACATCTTAACATCTCAACATCTGCGCAGTCATCATCTGAGCAGTGTCAATCTTCTTACATAATCTACATTTTGTTTAATGATTAGTCATAGTTTCTGGACAGTTCCGAAATAGCGGTAATCTCTAAGTGAACATTTGGACACTGAGTCATAGTGAGTCACATGGAGTCATTATGAGTCATTTCCGTTATGACTCATACCAAGTCATTATGAGTCACTATTCCATATTTAGTAGTTGCATAGCCACCTGTAGAGTAGTATATAAAGGGACATAGTTTCCCTCTTTGAATAATAAGATCCCTTTTTAGAGAGTTTGCGTATCTCTCAGAAAGTTTCTCACCCCTTAATATCTGTGTGAATACCAAGTGAATATTAGTTTATTCCCTCCACTCTTTTGTCACTGTTTCCCACGACGTTCTGACTACCTGAGGCTACCTCTAAGTCACATTAAATTACTCTAGCTAGTGCACGGTTACTAGTCGTCTAGTGTAGTTTTACTGCAATTCTCTTTACGACACAGGAAATCAATTCTGTGGGGAGAAATCCACGTACTTTAACGATTGAGGATGATAAATAGGACTTATACTTTAGTCAACAATATTAAGAGCTTGGCCACTTAAGACTACATCAAGAAGGTGTATTCTAGTCTGGACTGCGTCATTACTCATTGTGAGATCCTGAGCAGCAGAAAGGTCGGTTTCGAAGCCAAGTATTTGATTGATTCAACTGTATCCGACTTCTAGTTTGATCTCCCCTGATTGTGAGAATAAGGAGTATCCCAGAGATATCGCTCTGACTCACCACGTATCACTGTAATTCACGTAACTTTTCGTAATCTGCGTACTGTCGCATCATTATCCCTGAAGAACCCTAAGTACTGCATTAAGCCAGTTAACGGGCATTGTTCCTGAGATTCCCGAATATCTCACCCCTTTTTTTAGTCATTGGTAAATTTGCTCAAGGAGAACGCAATCTATATTTGCACCCCCACGAACGACCACGTTATCAACCGTTGGTATTTGTCTGAACCGTTGACCATGGAGGATAAGTGAAATTTGGTGTTTTTATTGCCTTTCACATCCTAGTAAGACACCGTGCTTTCAACGAGGTTTGATTTGGTTACCAACGGACGTCTCATTTAGTCCAACTGCACACTCATCTGAGTATGCAGACCCAGTTCCAACAGCACCTTCATATCTTGCTGATAGTGACGCAGCTCATACTGTTGCTAATCACCCAGAACTTTTCAAAATAGTAACACCGATTAACGTGGATTGGTTCCAGGATCTCTTAGTGGACCATCCAAACCAGCCTTTTGTCCAATCAGTGTGTTGAGCCTTGTGTGAAGGATTTTGGCCATGGACCAATGCATCGGATGAATCATATCCCTCCATTAACAACAACTCAATGCACACCTGTGCAAAGTCAGAAGAACAGGAAAAGTTGATTGAGGAGCAGCTTCAGGAAGAAATACGACTTGGGTGAGTATCTGAAAGTTTTGGGACTGATTTATTACCCGGAACGTATAGCATGCCAATGCACACGGTACCCAAACCAAACTCTGACAAGCTGCGCCTTGTCGTCGACCACACAGCTGGAGAATATTCACTCAATTCGATGATTGACTCGGATGCGATTAAAGGTACCAAACTAGATGGGTTGCACTCACTTGGTGCCTCGCTACTCAAGTTTAGGCGGGAACATCCTGATGAAGAACTAATTCTCTTCAAGTCAGATGTTTCTCAAGTGTTCCGGAGACTACCTATGCACCCGCTGTGGCAAGCCAAGCAAGTGCTGATGGTACTTGGTCAACGATATGTTGACCGGAACAATAATTTTGGAGGACGTGGTTCTCCTAAAGTCTGGATATCCTTTATGTCCCTCGTGGCATGGATTGCTATTCACTGCATGCTAAGTGAGGCACTCAAACTCTATATGGACGACTCATTTTCCTTTGGCTTAGCCGGACGCATGCTCTACTACGCCCCATATCAGTGTGACTACCCAGAGAAACAGACTCGTCTCCTGCAGCTTTGGGATGAGATAGGACTTCCTCATGACTGGCCAAAACAACTTTTCGGTTCGACGCTGACAGTCATCGGCTTCGATGTCGACCCTAATGCCATGTCCGCCACACTACCTGGACATAAAAAGGATGAGCTTGTTAAGCAGCTTCGTCGGTTCGCCGTGAAGAACTGTCGCTGGACACTTCATGAGTTTCAGCAGCTCACAGGTTGGTGTGAATGGAGCTTTAATATTTTTCCTCTACTCAAACCAGGGCTGTCCACCATATATGAGAAGATACGTGGAAAAGACCAACCCTGTGCTCGTCTTCACGTCAATAATGCCATCATCTGTGAGCTGTCATGGATGGCAAACCATATTGAACACCTTCCCAGCCTCTTGTTTTACAAATCGTTGGATTTCGACCCGCTCTCTGATGATGTAGTGGTCACCTATATGGATGCATCAGGTTTGGGAATGGGTCTATGGTTTCCTCATGATAACTTTGCAGGACAATCTGCATTGCCTGTAGATGCTCCCAAAGACACGATCTTCTTCTTTGAAGCTCTGGCTGTTTGTTCCACGGTGCACGCTATACACAACATGTCAGAGCCCCCTTTGCAAATGCTCATTTACACAGATAACACAAATACTGTTGCAATGTTCAACTCGCTTTGTGCACATCCTCCATATAATTCAATCATGCTCTCAGCGGTCAACATCCTGCTCAAATATGACATGGACTTATGAGTTGAGCATGTGCTTGGTTATGAGAATGGAGTTGCAGATGCACTCTCACATTTTCAGAACGAACATGTCCAAGAGCTGGCCCCAGCGGCTTGCTTTTTTTGATTTTGAACCCCCTCAAGATGCGCTGGGGGCAGCCAAAAAATGATGCAGGTATCTGCGTCGTCCAGGCAGCCTTTGAGGCAGGCCTGGACACCAGAGTGTCTCTTGTACAAGCACTCTGTGGCACTTGGTTTTGCGATTGATTCCACCACTGCATCTGTCTATGACTCGCATCTCAACTCTTATATCACCTTTTGTCGGCTGCACCAGCTCCCCATCGATCCCACTGTTGATACATTATCATTCTATGTTGTGTGGCTCTTGCACCACATTGAGCCTCGCTCTGTCGATTCATATCTGTCAGGCATTGCTAATCGGCTGGAAGAAGGCTATCTGTCAGTCCATGCGGCTCGGCAGTCATCTCTTGTGGCATGAACACTGCGTGGCTGCAAACACTGTATGTCAAAACCAGTGCAGAGGAAGCTTCCTTGAGCCTATTCAGTCACATCCTCTGTATAATACAGGCAGCCGAGGTTGAAAATATGCTGTTCCACACAGGCCAGCGGACGTCGGCCAATCAAATATGTTTGCCCGTGTCTAACATTCAGCTGGCTGGCTCACTGAGAGACAATCTTAACAGCTGGGCCCATACATAGTGATGCTTGATATTAACATGTTGGCCGGTGGCCAGGACAGAATGGTGGTGGAATGTGATATTGTCAGCTTGGCCAATGTAACATATAGTGGCTGTGTGTACCGATCGGCTGATGATGGGTATGAAGCCATCATGCGACCCATGCAGAATATATTTCCTGTGCATGTCAGTCGGCCCATGTGGAATACATTGCTCATGCTTATCGGTCGGCCTATGTCAAATGTGTTGCCTGTGTGCATTGGTTGGCCAATGCCAAGTGATGGAAATGAATGCCTAATGCTATCAGGTGGGCTGATAGAAATGAATTCCTGATGCTGTCAGGTGGGCTGATGTAGAGACTCGCATTTCTGCAGGCTGTTATGGGCCCATATTACGAATTCTGACAACTGGTGTTTCATGGCACAACTCGCACCATCATCCATATGACTTCCACTATGTCTCTAGTCGACTCTGCATATCATGCGCAGCTTTCCTGCGAAATGTGCCATAGGCGCGACACTTTCCTGCACAACGCGCAGTATTCCCGCGTGCGTGCCTTGCACACTTTCTCGTACTTAAGCACCCTGCATTGCGCAGCATCCAGGAGCATCCATCCACCGTCCAACCAGTCCCTTGGTATGTCCCTTTTCGTTATCTGATCATATTTGGCATATTACAATTCCTATTTTGTTATGGACCCTTACTTTACCTCATTTACATACTTAGAGCGCTCCCTATTCGGCTCCAAGCCCTGGGAGAGCACTTAGGTAGAACTTACATACACTCATGTTCATTTTACACCCAACTTTTCCACCTTAGCTTCCTACCACTCAGTATCTATCACCAGTTAGTTCCATGCAATGCATGTATCCATCATTGTCTTGAGGCCCTAGCATAAGTCTATAGCTAGTGGCACTATCAGTATCCATCTAGATCCGCGCTTTTCCTCTTATCAGTCTCAGTATACGTCTTCTACACTTGTGCACTGCTTGCACTACCTTCCCGCGCTTCACGCACTTTCGCACTTCGCTTTCCCGCGCGCGTTTTCTCGCACTTTCACCGCCATTCACCAGGGTTGATCACCATCATTCCGTGGATCCTTGCTTTCCTTGCTTCCCCTTTAGGGTTGAACGCTCTCGCATTCTGCAAGTGTAGCAGCTAGGCAGAGCCAAGACTCACTTATACTGGTTGAGCACTTTTCTTATATGTGCCTGCCAGGTTGTAATTGCCACACCGATATAAACCAATGCCTGGTGCAATCAGGTGGGCTGATAGCAATGAATGCCTGATGCAATCAGGTGGGCCGATGGAACTGATGCCATCAGGTCAGCTGATCAAAATGAATTCCCGATGCTATCAGGTTGGCCAATAGCAATGAATGCCTGATGCAATCGGGTGGGCCAATGGAACTGAATTCCCAATGTCATCAGGTGGGCCAATAGCAATGAATGCCTGATGCAATCAGGTGGGCTGATGGAACTGATACCATCAGGTGGGCTGATCAAAATGAATTCCCAATGGCATTGGGTCGGCCGATAGCAATGAATGCCTGATGCAATTGGGTGGGCCGATGGAACTCATGCCATCAGGTGGACCAATGGAACTCATGCCATCAGGTGGGCCGATGGAACTGATGCTCTCAGGTGGGCTGATGAAAATGAATTCTTGATGTCATGAGGTGGGCTGTTAGAACTGGTGACATCAGGTGGGCTGATCAAAATGAATTCTTGATGCCATCAGGTGAGCCAAGAGCAACGAATGCCTGATGCAATCATGTGGGCCCATGGGGAGAACCTTCTGATTCTATCAGGTGAGCTGGTGTGTAAGAGGAATAGCGACTAGGCTGTTAGAAAACTAGTGCTACTTATCCAAATAGGTGTGAGTGTAGTATTTGACCCAAGAGGACTGCTATTGAAGCAACTCCCTACTAATATGCAAGGGAAGTGATAGCACAAAGGGCTAAAAACCTATAGCGACCTAAGACCAAAAACTAATGAGTAGCGCTGTAGCAATCAGCGACAAGTGAGTTCTGACAGAGAAACGTGCATATAAGTGAGAAGCGCTATGCAAGTTGTTTTATGCGATAGCGCTATGTGACATCCGACTAGCGACAGCAAGGAGAAATCAAAGGGAGCAAGAGTGAGAAGTAAGATAAGACAGTGCAAGTGAAATGCCTGGTAGCAACTAGATTGTAGTGCGACTACCAATAGCGATCCTGACGTTGCAAAAGTCAACCTCAAGAGGGAACTTTAGCGACATGCACTTAAAGCAAGTCAAGTGACACACAATCAGAGAGATTGGCAAGAGCAGAATCAATTGCACAAAGACTGAGATATAGCGACTAAGGTGACTCCAACACCAGCAAAGATCCAGGGAAGGGAAGTAAAGTACTGTATGTGCAATGGGTCATTTTATCATACTGCGTAAAAGTTTGGGAGTGCATAGGCGAGAATAGTAGCGACACTGGCGAGGGCACAATGTAGTGACAGGTAATAAAACATGCAGCGCAGTGGAACACGAGGATACATGTAATAAGACCTGTGACTGATCAGTAGCAACATTTAAGGAATAATAACGCACCAGTGGAGGTAGGTGGACATAGGCAGGACATGGGAGGACAGAATACCTAGGCATCGGACCGGTGTGGTGTTCAAACTTTCTGTAGCCTTGCAGAGGCACTTTTCACTATGCATCTCTTATTGACACTTTCCTTAGATTAGGTTCGCACTTTTGCTGCTTACATAATCATCTTCCCTTTACCTAGGACTCTACAGTCATTACCTAGTTTCCCTTGTTTCCAGTTCTTTTGTTGCTCCCCATTCACTTGGGTTATTTAGTAGCATCCCCTAGTTGTAGCTTTCCTAGCTGTAGCTCCCTCAGCTCACCAGATAGCTCCTGGAACATAGTTTTCTTACCTTGACTTGGAGTACCTTCTCCACTCTCTTTCTTTGAGCCTGAGCCTAGTCAGAGATCCTTTAGGGTCGAACGTTCTTGCTAGCAAGAGTAGCAGCTAGGAGAGCAGGAGACTCATATATATTGGTTTGGTGCTTTTACCTACAGCCCAGCCATATCTTGTCATCACACTGGGTAGCATGCTATGGGAGAAAAGTGGTTCCAAAGCGGATAGCTTGGGAGTTGAATAGCACTGGTGACTAGCACTTTACTCTTTTCCTCTATGCAAGGCAAAGTATGCCTATGACACTCATACACGCCTAGCGCTGGTATGATTGTCACACTGGTGCGGAATGGGTCTCCCATGTGCATCGGTCGGCACATATCAGCCTGGTAGATTGGTCGCCATGAAAGCTGACTTTGGGAATTCGACAACATTCATTCCAATTAATCTGCAACCTTAAGACTAATCCATCTACACAGCTAAATATAACCATAATGTGCTATTATATTCCATGACGCAGCCATCTATGCTGAAACTGAGACATCCCGATGAGGGCAAGGAATGATAGCTGCGTGCTAGGGGGAAGAGTGGGAAGTGGGCTCTCAAGTGCTCCTCTGGATATGAGTGGAAAGTTGTCCCAAGGGGATTGCTACTGAGAAAGATTCCTCTAGTGAAAGGTGAGGGGGATCTATAACCAGTGGTTCGGTCTCGAAGCCTGAATGGGACACTGAGGCTAGTAATGCACCCAAAAGTGAAGAGTGCTAGCTAAAGGCGCCTAAACGCGCTAATAAGGCGGAAAGTGCAGAAAAGCGCGCTTCAATGTCAAAGCACACTTTGTGCGATCACAATGGAGTGCTTCGAGTAGAGGTGACAATCAAATGGGGGAACCAGGACTTTGATAGATGTGGAAGTAGACACTTAAAGGTGTCAAAGCGTCAATAGGAGGGAAACTGGTGTATTCAGATAGAAACTTGTGCTATACACTTTGATGGTAGTGGAGTGGAAGTAAGTGACAGGAAAACAAACATGGTGATGTGTAGGTATGCTAAGCGAGTTCCCACAGCTCGGAGCCAAATAGGAAGTACTAAGGTAAATGGTGAGGTAAGTCAGGGTCCATAACGAGATATGATGACAAGTACTAGTGCCTGCGTGACGGAGTATGAGTTCTGAAGAAGGAAAAACGCACCAATGGACCTTGGAGGACTAGGACAGGACATGCGGAGGACAGGCAACGGATCCTGAGGAAATGCAATGAAGTGCACCGCAATGCGCTTGAACGTGCCGGTACGCGCCAAAGCGTGCATTGCATGGAAATCAAATGAGAGGTGCATTGCAAGGATATGGAGTGCATCGAGAAAAGGCGTGAATTTGGCCCATAACAGCCTGCAGAAACGCGAGTCTCTACACTGAGTTGATGGTCAGTGCAGTAGTGTCACTACTTTCAAGGTGACCATCTCCACCCAATGGCGAATCTCCCCAGCACATGTCAAAATCAGCTGAACAATGGTCAGTCATGGTCGGCAGTGTTGATGACAAATACTTACCTTTATATCCCACTGCCAATGCAGATGGTCGGTCATTCCAACACATATCATACTGATCAGCCGCCAAGGGTATGGTGACACCCACGGTCTGAGTGTTGACAGTCGCCGGCTCTAGGATTGGCGCCGAATTGACCTTTGATAGACTCATTTCGTCATCCCAACAAAGGTCATATTGACCTGCCACCAGCGGTGTGGCTGCATGCGCAGGTCACAATTGGGGCTGGATCAACTTTGGTGTCCCAGCACATGTTAAATGCTAAGGAGTTGGTCAGAAATGAGTCATGTCATGCTTGGACTGGACTTACTTTGGCCTCCAAAGTGTTGTTTGGTTGATGGTGTGGCAGTCGGTGTTTCCACTGTTGGCACTTGATCAGCCTTGGTATTCCAGCACATGTCAAATACTGACATGGTCAACTCCCAGTGAAGGTACATTGAACAGTAAACTTACATTCATGACCAAAATGTTTCTTTGCAAGTGTTTCGGCGCTTTCCTGGTTGGATGGCATGGTTGAGGCTATGGATTCCTTCATTTGATGCGTGCAGGATGTAGCGGGTAGGTGAGGTCTAATTTGAATAGTGTTGTGACCCACAGTAATCTCGTCCTTTTGAGGCCATGGAATCGGCCACAATGTTGGTGGCACCCACTGGTCCCATGTGACGAAAAAATCCCGGTCGGCTTTGATGCACTCGTCCTGTAACCTTCAACTTTTGTCAATTGGATGCTCGTGGGAATACATACTGCTGGCAATTGACTTCGAAAATAGTGTGCTGGCAGTGGATATAGTCAGGTGTAATGTAGATGACTGTGGACCACTGGAACACTGCAGTCGATGAACAATGCAGAAATCCCACAGCCGGTGCCACACTTCGGCCATTTCTGGCGGTGTCACAATGTGGTGTTGTGGCATCGATTTCTGTCAAGTTCAATCCACATCCACAGAGAGTCGTTCCTTATATAACTAGGTCAACACTTGTCCTATCCTCTTCCTCTTTTGTCAGATTTTATATTTGCTGTCATCAGAGTCAATTTTTTTAAATTTGCACATCTCAACCATGCCATCACAAACCGAATCCAACAATGCTTTGGCGCTTGCCGACAAGTCTGTGCACGCTGCAGTCCGCCAAATCAAAATCTACGAGTTAGATGGCTGGGTGGTTGTTGACCAGGCCCATACGATCGCGTGGATGGTGGTGCGTTTTTTTTCACTTTGGTTAGATTTATCTGCTCACCTCTTCAACAGTCTGAAGCACTCCAGCAACATGGCCAGAATTGCTTGGACATGCTGCCATTCCTTCTTTCTGCTGCCGCTGAGGTCCGGGCAACCATAAATCAGACTCTCGCACCCAAATGGGCCTGTGTGCAGGATGATGATCCACATATGGAGTCACACCCCTTCTTCCCAAAGGTTGTCAGATATAGTGAGTCGGCACTTTTTGGATGCAGCGGTAGCTTGATATCCTCACCAGCACTAGCATCAGCATCAGCACCAGCACCAGCACCAGCACCAGCACCAGTGCCAGTGCCAGCATCAGCACCGGCAGTCTCCCTGGTCACACACCCAGTTCCCAAACAGCTGTCAGTTCCACCGATTGATTCACTTCCTCGTGCCGGTCACGAGAGCAATCCTGTTGCCCCTGGCATGATGACTGAAAAGGGCAAGCGGCCTAACCGCGGGACATATAGATCCTGAGAGGACAGCCCAGGCACTGAGGCAGGCAGGAAGAAATGCAAGGTCTTGAAGCCCTTGTCCAAGGCCATCATCTCCAACACCAAGGATGAGGAAGGGCAGCCAGGAGGGACCATTGTAGTTGTAAAGGTATGTCTTCCTTTCACCATTTTTAACTGACTGCTAACATCACCTTAACCGTCCAAGATTGTTCAATCTTTGCCTGCAGCGCAGCACGAATCAAAGGTAAGCAGCAGTAATGTCAGTGCCAATATCATTGCTGACTCCTTTTCAGTGCATGACAAAAGAGATCAAGCAGGTGAGAATTATCTTGTCCTGTCTGTCCTCACCCCTCAACCATCTTCAGGCGGATGCCACACCCCACATCGGCCAAGCCCAGCCAAAGGGCAAAGGAAAGGAGAAGGCCATGGACATTGCTGAGCCTGTCAGAGGGCGCAGGCTACTGAAGGCCTCTGCTGAAGAGGTGAGTTGGGCAAGTTCATCCCAGTCACCGAGTACTAACCATCTCACAGTACATTCCACCCTGCCAGAGATGCATAGGGAAGCCCTGTCTCGTCTCATTGCAGTCGGCCAGAAGGGGCAAGCCATGAAGTCCTGCGTCAAGTGCCACAAGATGAAGGTGTGGTGTAACCAATTGGCGTCAGTTGATGCCATCGGTCCTGCAACAACTCGGCAGGCCCCAAAGTCATGCCCTAGGTCAAAGCCTGCATCAGCCTCCAAGCACAGGGCTCAATCCAGGACAACAAGAGCAACCTCCCATGTGCGTCAACCAACTCCCATTCTGGAGTCTGAGGAAGAAGAAGCTGTTGAGGATACCGGTAAGTGATCTTGTTTTTTGTGACAACATACCTTAACCCTCAGTTGTAGATGTGCCTGTCACTGGTGATGATGATGCCAAGATGGATGGTGATGCTGAGGCCGAGCAGGACACTGACATCGCTACCAAGATGGTGGTTGAGCCCGATGATTGAATCGTGGTTGACCAGCCTGAAGCCATCGCTTCTGCAGCTGACTTCCCTGCCGACCATTGGCAGGAGGAGACCAACAACATAGCCATCCCCATAGCCATTCCCCCACCAATTCCTGTGGCCGACTGCCTTTCCCTTCCATCAGCACCTTCGTCACCCACCATCCACAATTGCATGCTTGCCCTGATGGCTCAGGTCACTGCCATGCAAATGGCCAATGAGAATGCCCTTGCCAGGATGGACGTGATGGAACATGACTTCGACACCCGCATCTCCTCGATGTGTGCTGAGCTGTCTGCCATGCAGCTCAATGTTGGCGCCACTGTGACATTGGTGGATGGACTGGTTGGCCTAGTTGAGAAGCTTCAGCAGGAGTGGGTCCTTCCTAATCCATCGTTCCCACCACCAACGATGAGACAAGGCAATGAATCCTCGGCCACTGCATTAAGCATGAGGTACTTGAACAGTGTGTTCGATCCTTCAGTTGCTCCCATCCCCCTTTCTGTTGGAATCAATCAAACCTTGGCATCTCGCACTTTTGGCCGTTCTGACATGCAGGGCAGCACATTGTCATATACCATATTCCCAGGTACAGATCCAGATCTCAGATCCAATCCAGATCCGATGGACATATCCGTTGTCCAGTCCACAGATCCGATCTAATCCTTGTTTCATGTCCTGTTCATATAACTCTAACTATCATTCATCTCCTTTCGGCATTCCTGTACACCGGTATACCGGTTATCCTTTACTTCCGTTATGCTTACTGATCCGCTACACTTACTGATCCACTTTAGCTTAGACTTCATTCCTGGTTATGATTCGTTATCCATCCGACTTACCGATATGCTGTACACATACTTTGCTTATACTTCGTACATAGCCTCGCGTCCTTGCTTATTGATCATTCCGTTAGTTATCTGTAGTATATAAACCCTTGTACATGCGCTGTAGTAGATCAGTTCGAATATCATCTTAGATTGCACTCATTCTGTCTGGACTCTAAGTTCATCCGTTATCCGTCCAGACTTGAGTACAATACTCTTGTCTACTCCGAGACTTAGGATTGATTCCTATAGTCTATATATCCATCTCTGTCTTCGGACAGTCCTCGCCCGTTAGTTTCTAGTTCAGATCCGATCTGGATTAGCCGTTACTATATATGTTCAATATCTGGAAGCCTTAACGGATCCGTTACGAGACTTATCTGTCTCAATATATACGATACTCTAGCACTCTGAAATAAGGGGCAAGACTCAGGAAAGGGGCACAGTGCACAAGCTGAGGCCGAAGCCCTTCGGATCCGATACTATTTGAGTACGGTCTTAACACACGTTCACATCTGGACAAGCATCCTCAGCGTCAGCACACGCCGGTTCTTCATCTGCTCCTGCTGGTGTTGGACCACATTTTCCTGTCATGTCACCTGCTTCTGCCACGCGCACCCTCCCCTGATCATTCAGCGGACTACATAGTTGTACCATAGATCATGTGTCTGTCGGTGAATTACACCTGTATATTACTTGGTATTGAATGAAATGTACATTAACTCCTTGGTGTGATTTAAGCACTGACAGCATATTGGCACAGTTGATCTCAGTCGGGTTTGCAGTTGGCATGGTGTAGCATACTTCAGTTTATCTTGTCTGTTCAGATTTGACTTCCCAATACTTCTCGTGGCCTCCTCGCCCTGTCGGCATTATTTATCTCAATCATCTTATTTGGTTGGCGTGACCAATTTATACTCCATGTGACCGATCGCTTGTTCTGTGATTTCCATAGCATATCGGCACAACCATTGCATGTGTCTCAGCTAGTTGTTCTTTGACCGATTGATTACACTGCACACAGATGCTTGGTGCCCTTGTTACACTACAATATGGCTGCCTACTTCAGTTCTTGGTAGTTCCTCATGTGTCATATTTGACTGAGCATATTTTGACTGAGGTGATCCTGGCAAGTATTTGATGACAGCTAGTATGTGAACGACCTATTGACCGACCAACTCATTCATCATATTTGACCGAGGTGGTCCATCTCCTCCTCCGTTCTGACACATAAGAATCCACAGAAGACATTTTGTTCAAGGTTTGTATGGGTGCAGCTCTCCTTTTTAAAGAGTACGATCTCCAGGAACTGCATGTATCAACATTTGTGTACAAGGTACTCACATGCAGCATCACCATGGCTGTGATAACGAGTGTTACTGGTGTCAGGCCATTGACTTGTGAACCCTAGTTCGGCTTCAAGGTAGTATCAGAGGGAGTTGTGTTGGCCTTTCTTGTTGTCCTTGTGGCAAAATACACTGCCCGTTGTCCTGCATGATTTGGGAATCATGCATGGACATGACTACTAGGTATCCCCCTAAAAGACAAAGTCTGTTAGCTTAGTCCTCAGACTAGTCAACCCATACCTTGGTATCAAACCTTGCTCCAATAGTTTCAGTTTTCCCTCAGTGATTCATGAATCCACCATGTTTTGAAGAAAAGTCATATGTGAGATGGGAATCACATAATGACCTAGTTGATATGAGAAGCAAAAATGAAGGTTAAGGTATTGCCTTTCATTTGGCTTATTCACTTTGGCTAGAGAAACCCATAGAGAAAAGTTCAAAGCCTAACAAAAACCTATCTAAAAAGCCCGCATATTGTGTACTATTATTTGTTCCATTATTTCTGAGTTGTTTTCTCTAGTGTTTCTTTACTTTACTTTTCTATTAGGATGCTCTGACTAATCAGATGCTTCATAAAATTGTACCTACAGGGTATGATGTCATAATGATGTCATAGGACTTCACCTACACTCCTGCAGATATTTTGGTTGAAAGATATGATATCATAGTGATGTCATAATGATGTCATGTTCCATGGAATTTGCTAGAACATTCCAATGACTCATAATGACTCATAGTGACTCATAGTGACTCAGAATGATGTCATTATCCCACCATGAATATTCTGGAATGTTCTTTTGCACCTGCTAGAACATTCTGCTCCAGTTTTTGGAATATTCTTCTCACATTCTGAAGTCATTACATCACCTTTTTACTTACATAAAATGTATATAAGGAGAGCCCATTCTCCCCCAAAAAATAGATCTCCCACTTGAGCAAATTGAACTCTCACCTAAGAAGCTTCAGTCTGAAAAAATTGCTGCTTACAAAGCCCATTTCCTTTGTAAGAACTGTCCAGGCAAGTGCAGGGAAAGTGTTTCCCTTGAGATTACATAAGTTTCTTGCGATAGAAACCCAGTTTTGTGAGACCAGTGTTCTCACCATGTAGTGTTTACTGACCAACACGAGCTTTGGTCAACGTTGTTATTTGTGAGACCAGTGTTCTCACCAGGTATTTGTATACTGACCAACACGAGCTTTGGTCATTGTTGTTATTTTTGAGACCAGCGTTCTCACCAGGTATTTGTATATTGACCAAACACAAGCTTTGGTCCATGTAGTCACATTTGAGACCAGCTTCTCAACAGTTAACCGTATATTCAGGAAACCAGTTCAAGTGTCTAGACGGTATTTCCTAGACAATCCCATAGTTTCAATCAGAGATAATAAAGCTCCGGCTAAGTTAATCTAACTGATTGGTTTAGCGAGCCTCCCAAGAACTCACACATTATCTACCATGAAAGAAGAAAAGTCGTAGACCATGTTAATCGAGGACTGGCAAGAAGTCTTATCCAGTGTAATTGTGGTGTCATTACATTCTTACACGTTTTCATATAAGACCCTCGGTTATTAAGACACCGTGAGGTCCAGAGTCTTCTGGCCACCACCTGTTGATACCTGAACAGCTCATTCTTTCGCTGCTGATGAACCCCCTGATGCAGCTGCAGCGTTGTCTTTGTTCATCAACAGGACAGGTCCATCAATTCCATTTTGTTCCCACCATGCTCACATCTTGGCATTTCCCCCTTTAACTGCATTTAGCTCTTTATCGAGCTGATGGATAGATGCTCTAGCCTTGTCAAGGCACACCTTATTCTTGTGTGCTTCTGCAGTTATCTCTGTAGTAGAAGACTGCAGTGAATGTAACTGCTTCTGCAAAGATGCAGTGGCATGATCCTTACAAGTGCACCACTTCCGCTCACCTCGGAAACACTTCTCATAAGTTATAGCTCGCTGTTGTTGCTTTTCGAGCTCATTTTGCAGGTGTCCTACTAGAGCAATAGCCAGTGTGGGACTTGAGGAAATATTCTCCTTTTCACTGCCAGTGGTGATTGTCCTGTGGTTTAGATGTGCAAGGTGAGTTCATTGGTTATTTGAACGCCTTTTAGATGGGTGCCAGCAGACACTCTTGATGTGTTGGAGCAGCATTAGTGTTACAGTCCCTTGCCTGACATGTCAAACGCATCTCCTAAACGTGTCACGTCATACTCAAATCGGCTTAGTCAGCACACACCTGAGTGTACTGATAGATATACCGCTCGGCAGTGATGCAAGCACATTTTTCACCCAAATCTTGTTCCAGGTATATTGTTTTCCTTATTCTTGGTATTCTATGAAAAAAATATAAATATTCTTGCATTCTCTGGCATTTCAGTAGGCTAGGTTACTGTAGACATTGTGTTTTCTTATTTTTTTTCATACAATACAAACAGCTTGAGATTTCATGCGTATGTCTCCATACAAACTACTCACCGCGAGTGTGTGGTAAAGCCCTGCCGTTATATCTTTCCATTGGACACTCATTTCAGCTTCACCCCCTTGAGATGAAATCATGTGCGGAGTTTGAAAATGGCTGAGCATTGCCCATCCCCAGTAGAAACCATATAGTGTTTATGTCTATTTACTCCTGCCAGCATAGACAGTAAGTATGATACATATAAACTGTTTACTGGGGTACCTAAGTTTGTGACACAATGCTGAGATATTAACTACAGTACACTATCTCATAATGCATTGACTTTGGAAGGTCCCACTGTGGGCCAGTGAGAAATTGAACCATAATGCATAATGCATAAGCCTGTGGGACCACTATGCAGCATTATGAGATAGCATTTTTCAGGCCATACTGTGAGAATGATGCATTAAATACCTATAACTTATAGTAAAACTGTGATACATTAATCACTGTAAGCCATAGCTCTTGTAATATGTAGGGCTGATATACCAGTGGAGGATCCTATCAAGATGCTACCTTTGCCTGGATTAGGTCTCTGGACCTTTCCTGTGTTCTTTTCACCACATCAACACTTCTTTTTGATTGAGTTTGTTGGTGCCTTTGATTAGTAATCTAACTGTACAGTCTCGAACAGTTCTGATTGGTGCCTTTGATTAATAATCCAAGTGTACAGTCTTGGACAGTTCCAATTAGTGCCTTCGATTAATAATCTAACTGTACAGTCTCGTACAGTTCTGATTAGTGCCTTCAATTAATAATCCAACAATACAGTCTCACAATTCTGACCCTCCAGCGTATCTCTGAATCATGTGCCCTTTTCTTTGGTGTTTTATGGATCATGTGCTTGGTGTGAAAGAGAAATAGCTACTAGGCTATTAGAAAACTAGCACTACGTATCCAAATAGGTGCGAGTGTAATCTTCGACCCAAGAGGACTGCTATTGAAGCAACTCCCTACGAATAAGCAAGGGAAGCGATAGCACGAAGGGCTAAAAACCTATAGTGACCTAAGACCAAAAACTAATGAGTAGCGCTGTAGCGATTAGCTACAAGTGAGTTCCAACAGAGAAATGTGTGTATAAGTGAGAGGTGCTATGCAAGTTGTTTTTATGTGATAGCGCTGTGACAATTATATTGGCGCTAGGCATGTATACCTGCATAAGCCTTCAATAGGTGGACCAAAGTTATCCCTCACATCATTCACTACTCCCCTATCAGCAGTCTTCACTTGTCTCAGCCATAACCCTTGTCCGATGCTATTCCGCACTTTCCCACACTATGTGTGCACATTCCCGCAGCGCTATTCATGCTCCTGCGACTTATCCGACGCTATTCCCACGCTTATAGGGCTATCAGAACTACCAGCAATGTGTCTATTGGAGCATTAGTGCATGTCCGCTCTATCTAGTGCTTGTTCCCGCGCTGTTCTCGCGCTCTAGGATCCACCCAAAACATCGGAATCCATCCATGGTCCATCCTACCTCATTGGTATGTAATTTGCCCTGCCTCGAGTTTGTAAAAAGTGCTACAGTCTTATTACATGTATATCCTATCCCTTCCGAGTCCAAGATGGTATAGTTTACTAGTATAAGAAGCCTATGGTGACTACTTTGACATTACTTCCCTTCGACTGTATTTCCTTCCCTTAGGTTTTACTTAGAAGTAGTCACCCTTTAGTTGCACTCTATGGCCCCTATTTGACTTTCCTTACCCTTGCAATCAATACCCTTGATCTCTCTCGCTATCCATTACCTTCCTTTGACTCAGTGTCCGCTTTCTTGACTTCCGCTCTTTCCCGCGCATTAGTGCTCTACCTTGCGACGTGCTATTCCCGCGCTTTAGCACTCTTTCAGGTCTTTCTATCTTAAGTTGTCTTTAGTAGCTTTTCCCTCAGGTCGAACATTCTTGCTTTATTGTTTGCAAGTATAGCAGCATAGGCAGAGCTTAGACATATACTGGCTGAGTACCTTAACAAGTGCATAGTCAGGTTGTGTTTTTCACAGCGCTATGCGACGTCCAACTAGCAACAATGAGAAGAAATCAAAGGGAGCGAGAGCGGAAAAGCAAGATAAGACAGTGCAAGTGAAATGCCTGGTGGCAACTAGATTGTAGCACGACTACCAATGGCGATCCTGACATTGCAAAAGTCAAACTTAAGAGGGAACCTTAGCGACGTGCACTTAAAGCAAGTCAAGTGACACGCAATCAGAGAGATTGGCAAGAGCAGAATCAATTGCACAAAGACTGAGATATAGTGACTAAGGTGACTCCGACACACACCAGTAAAGGTCTGGGGAAGGGAAGTAAAGTACTATATGTGCAACGGGTCATTTTATCATACTGCGTAAAAGTTTGGGAGTGCATAGGCAAGACTAGTAGCGACACTGGTGAGGGCACAATGTAGCGACAGGTAATAAAACATGCAGCACTGCAGAACACGAGGATACAGGTAATAAGACCTGCGACTGATCAGTAGCGACATTTAAGGACAAATAACGCACCAGTGGAGGTAGGTGGACATAGGCAGGACATGGGAGGACGGAATACCTAGGCATTGGACTGGGTAGCGCGCTATGGGAGAAAAGTGGTTCCAAAGCGGATAGCTTGGGATTTGATAGTGCTGGTGACTAGCGCTTTACTCTTTTCCTCTAGGCAAGGCAAAATATGCCTATGACACTCATATGCGCCTAGCGCTGGTATGATTGTCACACTGGTATGCTATTCACTTATGGTTCTCTGCAAGGTACTGACAGCAGCTGTTATGTAGTTGGAAATTTGCCCTTTTCCTTGCAATTGATGCAAACTTTCGTTTGGCAAGGAAAAATGTTTCTTCGGATGTAGTTGACCCTGGTCTGAGTTGGGGCTGGTCATATTTTGTCGAAGATTGTGAATTCAAGTTGTTTCTGAATGACGCAGGAATGCTGCCTCAAGAGGTGATTGTCTTTCTTCTCAATTTGCCAACACTGCTGTAACATTCTATTTGAACAGAAAAGCATGTGTGCAAGTCACAGTGCTGTGAATCTTGCAGATACAAAAATGCGCGTGGCTTGGCAGCGACAGGTGTGGGTACAATAGATTGCACTTGTCACAATCTTAAATGACGGTGTGTGGTTGGTGACCTCCAGAAGGGTGAATGGTACGTGACCCTTTCCAATGACAATAATCAAGCTGATAATCTACATAGATATGTTAACATGGACTACCTTCTCTTCTCGATGTTGCAACATACCCGCGACATCGTAGTTCTCAATATATTGTATGACATTGCTTGTCAATGGAGCAAGCATATCTGAAAACGCATGTCAAGCTATCCCTCCACTATTCATTTCGACCACACTGACAAGAATGTTGTATTCCTCATCCCGAAGTTTCACCTCCCTGCACATATTGATGCTTGCCAGATTGGATTCTCGTATAACTTAGTGAAGGGTGTCGGCCGAACAGATGGCGAAGCTCCTGAGCAGGGTTGGGCTAACATCAATCCAGTGGCCATGAGCACATGCAAGATGGGGCCAAGATCACGGTGAGACACCTTGGACGATCATTTTGGGGATTTCAATTGGAAGAAAGTATCAAATTTTGGTAAGCTCTCGTTTAGCTTTCTTATACTTTGCTATGTATCTAATGTTTCATCAAGGTATCAGCCTTTTGTACAGGATAAAGACCACTATCCCAGAATGTGATCTCCATGTACAAGATTTTGAAGATTTCAATCAAATGCTATCGCACGAGCGACTAAATGAAGTCAATGCATGGAAGTCATCGATTAAAAGATGAGAAGAAGATAAATCACAGCCCAATCCTTTCGAGATAATGAGCAAATGTACGCCCTGTGTTTTGTCCTCGCATCTTGACATAGACTTAGATGTTTCATTTTTTAAGCAATGTCACAAGCTGCTGTGCACCTCAGTCTTTCACAGAAAGAAGCCAGCGATTTAGAACTGGCATCAACAATTCACTTCACTCAGATATCTCTCCAAGTATATTGATTTCCTCCGGCATGGACTATGAGGATCAACAGTGAGTGGTGTCCCATTTTTTCCATTTACACAACACTGAGCGACTATGACACAGATGTCATCTTCAGCATGACCATAGCACCCTCAGTGTTCATGCAACCGACCTGCAGCTTGCGAAGTTCCAGGAACGTAGCAATGCATTGCAGCGCAAGATTGCTCAATGGTGTATGATCCAGCTACTGTACTTCCCCTCTGTAGCTTGTCTTCGATCCTCCGACATCAAGTCTAGTATAGATTCTACCCAGGAGGAGAAACCCACCAATATTAACCTGTGGTTGCCATCACAGATCAGGCGTGAGACACTGCTTCCATGCAATGACAGTCTCTCCAAATATGAGTGGGATTTACAGCGTGCTCAGGCCTTTGATGCCCTCGATGATCTCTGCCGGCACCTCTGCCTTCAAACACATCTATACAAGTTCAAGGATGCTCAAATTTGCAGTCAGCGGGCAAATACACATGCAGGCATTATCATTAAGAACGTCGAAATCAACGTATCCGTGGCTGCTGAGCGCTATCACAGAGCCTGGAACACATTAAGTGCTCTTGCACCTTCCCTAGCCAGGGACGCATGGACGACAGAGCTGCCAAAGTTAGAGGAAGGGGACATCCGAGGGATGGGAGACAGCACTGTGACAATCATACCAGTGCTAGGCGCATATGAGTGTTACAGGCATATTTTGCCTTAGCTATAGGAATGGAGCTAAATGCTAGTCTCCAGCGCCATCGTTCCCAAGCTATCCGCCTTAGGATCGTTTTTCTCCCATAGCACGCTATCCGGTCCGACGTCTAGGTACCCCATCCTCCCATGTCCTGCCTATGTCCACTCACCTCCACTGGTGCATTATTAGTCTTATTTGTCACTACTGATCAGTCGCAGGTCTTATTACATGTATCCTCATGTTCTGCAGCGCTACATGTCTTATTACCTGTACACACATTGTGCTCTCGCCTGCATTGCTACTATTCTCGCCTACGCATTCCAAACACTTATGCAGTATGATAAAATGGCTCGTCGTACATACAGTATCTCACTTCCCTTCCCCGGACCTTTACTGGTGTGTGTCGGAGTCACCTTAGTCGCTATATCTCAGTCTTTGTGCAATTGACTCCGTTCTTGCTCATCCTCTCTGATTGTGTGTCGCTTGACTTGCTTTAAGTGCACGCCGCTAAAGGTTCTCATAGTTTGACCTTCATGAAGTCGGAATCGCTACCAGTAGTTTGGACTACACTTAGTTGCTACAGGCATTCCACTTGCGCAGTCTTACCTTACCTCTGCTTTTCCTTCCCTGAATTCTTCCCGCTATTGCTAGTCACACATTCGCATAGTGCAGTCACATAAACATACCTTGCACAGTGTATCTCACTTATACACACGTTTCACTCTGTCAGAACTTCATAGTCGCTGATCGTTATAGCGCTACTCACAAGTTCTTAGTCTTAGGTCGTCATAGGTTTTAAGCCCTTTGCGCTATCACTCCCCTTGCTTATTTGAAGGGAGTTGCTTCATTAGCAGTCCTCTTGGGTCTAATTCTACACTCGCACCTATTTGGATAAGTAGTGCTAGTTCCTAACGGCCTAGTCGCTATTTCTCTTTCACAGCGCGTTTGGAGAGTCAAGCGGGAACCACACCTTGTCGTGGATATGGAAAGCACGAGGTGTAGCTACTGCAGGGATGGAGGGTGAGGCAGTCCTCTTGGAAGGTGAGTGACCATGGTGTGTCAATACTTTGGCTGAATGTTTTGTTAGCTTTGCAAGTCGAATGGTGTAGGTTGAGGGCCTGTGCCAACCAGTGGGTCGAAGAAGTGGAACTCCTGCTTGAAGAGATGCAGCATGTCAGTGCTTTTCTTGCATGGCATGCTGCATGGTGGGACGAGCAGGCCACACAAAGGGTAGGCCTAGATGATGCTTTATTGGAAGGCATCCGAGGCTATGCCAAATGCCAAGCAACCCAGCACAGGTCTATGAGAGATGTATTCCTCACCAAGTGGAGTATTGTACCCGCCCTCCTTCATCCCGAAGCAACCGCTGCTCCCATTTAGTACTGTCGGTACATTTTGACATACCTTCTCTTCATGTCAAATACAGACTTTTGACATCTTTACTCGCATGATTGACACAGCATTCTCAAGAAGCTACAACCCAGGCCCTGGGCCCTGGTATGCTCAGATCTCGCAATCAATATATATATATATATAAGCAGACAGCAAGTACTATGGTCAGATCTCGCGATCAAGATGTATATAAGCAGACAGTGAGTACTATGGAGCAGCAGGAGTGAGGTTATGTATAATGGATAACAAAGGATATTGTCAGGGATCCATGACAAGGAAGGATAACCAGTTGTCTCTAATGAGACTTAGTTATCCATAATACTGCCAGGAGCAGGTGTCCTACAACCAGTCTTAGACCGGTTACAACCAAGACCAGTCTGGTGGCAGTGTACTACTCACTCCTGCGATTCCAATGGTGCTCTATTTGTATTAAATGGTTAAGATTTGAGCGATATATGAGCATTGTACCAAACTCTGCCCCACAAGTGAGTCAAATATGAAATGTCAAAAAATCAAAGTTGTTATAAGGCTTAGGTGTCTCAATGCTAACTGTAGCCCTAGTATAGACGAGCATATAGCTGGTCTTGCCTTGTCAATTGATTATGATTTGATCTAGATAAAAGCTAAGATATAAGACATCCCATTAATTTGCAGCTTCTCTTGTAAGTCTCATAACTTTATCAAATCTTAACCGTTTTACATGATCGGACCACCATTAGAATCACGCTGACGAGTACTACATGTACATAGCAACCGGTTTTCCAAAAGATTGGTCTTAACCGGTTCTGGACCGGTCCTTTGATTTTTTACAAACTTTGGGCAACTGGACTGGACTGATCTTGCAACTGGAAAAGACTGCAACCGGTCCTGCAACTGGACTTAAAACACTAGTCATAAGGCTCCCAGTTGTGGAATTGTTGTGTGATGAGCCAACACTGTCATACATGGTATGGAACTCATACCATGACATTGATAGACAGGAAGTAGCTACAGAGAGTACACTAAGGTGTACCTCATTGTATTATTATGATTGGTTCCATTTTGACAGATTTACTTGTATTTATATTTCCAGTATGATAGTTTTCACCTTTCCCCTTTTCTTTTCTTTTCTTTTATGTGGTTTATTCAGCCACCAGTGAGCCACCAAGATGTGTTAGTAAGCATGTCATGTGATAGGCAATATTCTGCTTTGTAAGGATCCTGCATGATTTGTCATGTGGCTTCCATTTGTTTCCATTTGTTTCTATTTGTTTCAGGCTCATTCAGCCACAGAATCCTTCAGTGAGCCACCAGATATGTTTGTAAGCATGTCATGTGATAGGCAATAATCTGATTTGTAAGGATTTGTCATGATTGGTCATGCTTCGTCATGCTTCATCATGCTTCGTCATGCTTCATCATGCTTCGTCATGCTTCGTCATGATTTATCATGCTTTGTAATATTATGAACTTTATTTGTAAACTACTTTGTAAGCAGCTGATTCAGCACTGCCAAATGGCATGGTTAGTAAGCCAGTGACTTACTAATGCTGTGATGAGTCATGCTTAGTAAAATGGCCTCCCAAAAAGGTATAAAAGGAGCCCATTCTACACTGAGTAATAATAACTTCCCACTTTTCACTCTTCTCTCAAACCGTGAGAGTCCGTAAGACTTAAAGTGCAGGCCAAGAGTGCCTTGAAGTAAGATAAACATTGTATCAGAGATTAGTTGTATACTACCTTACAGGGGTCGCTTATATAACAATCTATTTATAAACTACTTGTTGTGTGCTACCTTTCAGGGGCTGAGTGTACAACACCAGAACAGCTTTCGTACTAGGCTTTACGTATTTAAGACAGACTTCATTTACTTGTTGTGTACTACCTTACAGGGGTTGAGTATACAACACCAGAACAGCTTTCTAACTAGGCTTCACGTATTTTAAGACAGACTCTCTCTTTTTTCAGGAAGGGAGACATGAGAACACGACAAAGTTGAGACAGACTTTCATAGGTTGAGACACGACCTACAAGATTGAAACAGATCTTACTATCAGAACATTAGGGAATCTATGAGTAATTCCACCAGGGAACAACAAGAAGAGGATACGTCAGTAAACCCTCCCAAGAACTCACACGTTATCTACCATGAAAACTAGAAAAGTCGTAGACCGTGTACTTAAGGACTGGCAAGAAGTCTTATCCTGTATAGTTGTGTTGTCACTATACACGCGTTGTACATAAGACCCTTAAGTAGCAAGACAACGCGCTGTGGGTAACACAACAAAGGTGTACGCAAGTCAGATGACAAGCAAACACTCTCTATGTTGGGTCTTGATATGCTGTGCGATATGTTCGACCCTTAAGGGAAGCAAAGAAAGCAAGGATCCATGAAATGATGCTGATCAACCCTGATCAAAGGCGACAAAAGGGCGATGTAAGCGCGAGAAACGCGCTCAAGGCGCGTGTGGGAAAGTGAAACGCGAAAAATGCGCGAAGTGCGGGAAGGCGAAAGTGCGAAAGGGCGAAAATGCGTGGAGAACAGGGATGGTAGTGCGAGCAGCACACAAGTGTAGAGAGACGATAATATGGTGAAAAGCGCGGATATAGATGGATACTGATACTGCCACTAGCTTTAGACTGATGCTAGGGCCTTAAGACGACGACAGACGCATGCATTGCATGGAACTAACTGCCAAGTACATGGTGGTAGAAAGATGTGGTAGGTAGCTGTGGTGTAAAACCAACATGAAAGTATGTAAGTTCTACCTAAGTGCTCTCCCAGGGCTCGGAGCCGAATAGGGAGCGCTCTTAGTATGTAAGTGAGGTAAAATGATGTAAAGTAAGGGTGCATAACGAAATACAAAGTGTAATAGGCTAAATATGGTCTGATAACGAAAAGGGACACACCTAGGAACTGGTTGGATGATGGATGGATGCTCCTGGATGATGTGCGATGGAGTGCGCTTAAGTGCGAGAAACGCGCTAAGCGCGCTGCGCGGGAACGCGAAACGCGAAAGCTTGAGAAAGTGTTGCGCCTATGGTGCGCTTTGCAGGAGAGCTGTGCATTGTATGCGCAAATGACTGGAGACATAGCAGAAGTTGCGTATGGAGTAGGGCGACAAGTGCGAGAGAAATGTGCTAAGTGCGCGCGGGAATGCTGCGCGTTGTGTGGGAAAGTAGCGCGCCTATGGCGCGTTTCGCGGGAAAGCTGCGCGTTGTGTGTGGAATGACCAGAAACAAGATAGAAGTCACATACGGATGATGGTGCGAGTTGTGCAGTAAAGGCCAGTTGCCAGAATTCGTAAAATGAGCCCATATGAGCCCACAGAAACGCGAGTCTCTACAGCGCTGGGACTCAACATACATCATGCTCAATCGGCTGTGAATGCTTCATCAGGTAAGGTGTTCTTATGCTTAGCATTTTTAGTAGATTAACAGTGACACAGGCTGTTGACCAGTTCTTTAGCATTCCTGCTCAATGAAACATCTCTCATCACAAACTAGATGCAATGCAATGGCAGGTCTTGCAAGATCTTGAGGTAGTCCTAGAGGTAAGTCTTAATATTCTCAAGAAATGCGCCTCAGATTCATTTTATTGATATATATCAGGCACCGCATAGTGCCCAGCAGTGCATGTCTGGTGAAAGCACCCCTCTGCTAAGTGGTGCTGTTCCAACATTCAAATTGTTGGTCAAATGATGGGAGGGCTTGGCCTTGCACGTCCCACATATTGCACCTCTGGTTGCAATAGGCTTGACCTGGACAACTAAGTATGAAGACCAGATGTGCAGCACAGGAGCATATGGTGTTGCTATGTGTCAGTTCAACATTTTTTGATGATGTTTTATTCTTACAATGATTTCCAGTTGTTGACCCTACCATCCATATGTCATGGATGAATCGTGAGTGGGATGCAAATCGAGTTGACAAGGCTAAGGATTACATTATCAATTTGGTATGCCTACAATATCGAACTAACCACGCCACGAACTGACATGTTTTGCAGATATGAACCAAGAAGGTGAAATCAGCTCTGTGCAGTCTCCCAATAAGCAGCCATGTGCCGTCACACTAGGCTCGATGCTTTATGGACTCTCCGATATTGATATGCTGCCATGTCGCCAGGCCAGTATCCAAACAGTTGAAGAGGAGTTCAGTGCATATACAACAGCTATTCTCAGTCCCAGGGAAATGAACATACTTGCATTTTGGATAGTAAGTGTCCTATATCTCACTAGAGTTTTTGTCAATAACTAATCATTGATGGTCTACCAGATGTCACAATCATTATTTTCCACCATTTTCTCGATTGCAATGGACTATCTCCCAGTCCAAGCTTCTGCTGTTCCTTGTGAACAAGTATTCTCATCTAGTAGCAAGACATTTATGAAGAGATGTAACCGCATCAGTCCACACCTCATGGAAGCCCTGCAGGTGGTCAAGTTTGTGTTGAAGAAAGACTGACTCAATTTTACAAAAGGTTGGGCAACCTCACAGAAGGAGATGGAGTACCACTTGATATGTCATGCTGCTGCAGACACAGACTCAGGTGATCCTTTGATCCCTGACTCTACTAGTGACCTCTTGGTATCTGCCACCAGTACAAGGACTGCTCACAGTTCAGAATATGAAACACTTCTTAGAATCATTGCAGAGGACGAGTGTGATGACATTCCAGATGTTGCTGATGTATTAGCACTTGCTCCTTGATTCATAGACACTTATTCCTCAACGCTTTGTTTCTGTAGTTGTCTTTAAGTGAATACATCCCATCTTGTTGTATTCTCATATCTTTCTCTTTCCTGAATACATCAGAATCTACAACAAAATCAGATGCTGGACAATCTCCTGGCAGCTGACTTTGAAAGTGAGTCTATCTAAAGTCTAGTATCTCACACCATCACTGCCATCTCAATCACATACCCCTCCTCCTTCACAGTCTCAGCCTACAAATGCGACAATGGTAATTAGCAATGGCACTACATCAGCAGCTGCATTGGGTCCTTCAACACCACTGACCCTCACTGAATTCACTGAATTCACTCCTTTCACCAATGCTCAAGGGACTCTCCATCATCTTTCAATCATGCTGGTACTCAACAAATCCTCTACCTGTCTGGACCTACACTGCACCCATACGGTACATACCCACACACACTGCACCCATACCCACACACACCACACCCATACCCACACACACCGCACCCACTATGGTATGGGTGTACACCGACTCGCCAATTCTATGGGTATGAGCAGTGTTTGCAGTATACCACAGTTTTTTTCAAAGATCCACAGGTCATATAGCATTTTCGAGTCCTGGAGACAGCAAACACCTCCAATTCTCTCCTACATTTTTGTGCTGCGCAGGGGAAGAAGTGGCAAACACGACCATTCATGTGCACAGCAACATGATTGGTGTCAAAAAATGCATAGACAGGTAAATGCCAATTCTTCTCAAGTTTTTCTGTATTGAGTTGGTAAGGCACCAACATGGTATAGTAGTATCAGCAGAGGTCTTATGAAGTTCTGAATCTAGGTGCTTTTCATTGTCAGGCTCCATTGTCACCATGTCAATAGCATTGACATCAATTATCAATGGCTCTGGCAACAATAACAAAGACAATTTTGACAAGCATGATTGAATGGAAGACTCATCAGCCTTCTTTAAGCAGTGCACAATCCACTGGAACATCAGCATAACCAATGCAGTAAGTTGCCACTTCGAATCGATATTACTACTCAATGGACCTGCAGTTGAAGCTTCAAAAGTATGGGTGGACATAGATTTCATGTTCTGGGGATGAGTGACATGGTGATAACAGCTCCGAGTCCAACTTGGGAGGTTTAAAATTTTGACCCTCATATCCTCAGACAAGCTGAGGGTTCCACACCTGTCCAACACCACAAACTGCCATGGGTAAGCACGGTGTATGTGCAGGTCTCCATAACCTACACCATACCCATACCTGCCACACCCGTCAGTGGGGAATTTTGGTGGTGAACAATATTGCTGATGGAACCCTAGTATTTCATGACTCGAAAAAGTGACTGTAGCAGGCTCTGCTGTGAGCTGCCTTTCACATTATGTTATGATATACTCATAGTCTAGGTTACTATGTATTACTACATCAGGAGATTGTCCAATTCCTTGAATTTACATTTCTATAGCCAACTTGAGCCAACTTCAAGTTACTAATGGTGGCTATAATAATTGAGCTGAGCTGTATATGATGTAAGCTGTAGCTAAGTATCTGGCTCGGTTAACCACAGTACCAGCCTTGGCTGTAGCTGGCCATAAGTCAGAGCTACAGTAACACTAATGCTCGTAGTACCATTGCTATACTTTAGAAGGCTGAAATTTGATATGCTACCCACGGGTTACCCACTAACCCATGGTAACCCACACAACCCATGGCATGACCCATGACCTGCAGTACCCTTGGGTCATGGGTATGGGTATTTCATGGGTAAAAGTATGGGTTAGTATGTGGTGACCCATGGGTTACCCATGCTATTGCCTACAAGGGTTTCACCTAGGAGTATCTCAAAGAATTCATGTTTCCTTCTGTGCCAGGGAACTTGGGTGTGGTAATTGGCATGCCTCCTGTAGGTGATGAAGAACAGACTGGCATGACTGAGGTGCATTACCTTCTGCTGAGGAGCTCCAGGAATAGCATGAGGATAGCAGGCTGCTGATTTGCATTTGAGTGTTGTTGTTAAGACCGTAGCTCAAGGGTAGACGGATCCAAAGGGCTTGGCCTCAGCTCGTGCACTGTGCCCCTTACCCGAGTACATGCCCTTAATTTCAGAATGAAGTCCAGATGGAATCTGACAAAGTCCAAAGGACTTCCGGAGGCTGGCTACTCTAATAGAGTGCTAGAGGACTTCTGGATGAGTGCAAGAAACTTCCAGAGGAGTATAGGAAACTCTGGAGGAGTTTCATCCACTGTATTAGATCCGAAGGTAAGACTTCCCAAGGTAAGTTCCCTAGATAGAAACACATAGAGGATAGGCTGCAAGGGACAGAGTCCAAAGCAGGATAGGATAGGAGGAGTGGTCCGAAGGACAGGACGTCCGGAGGTCCGAAGGTTAAGACGTCCAAAGGGTACGTTGTCCAAAGGTTGCATCATCCAAAGGTTGCATCGTCCAAAGGTTGCATCATCCAAAGGTTACGACATCCGAAGGTTACGACATCCGAAGGTTACGACATCCGAAGGTCCGAAGGTTTACGAGGATCGGAGGAGCGGACAGGATTAGGACAGGAGGGGAAAGGCTACTATGGACAAGGTCCGGAGTAGAAACAAACAGAGGTAGACTACACTATGGTAGAGTCAGATAGACGGGGTTTAGACAGAAGTCTCAGAAAGACAGGAAGTGCCAGAAAGGCAAAACTTCGGTCTAGGGAATCAATCCCTAGACTTCAGAACAGAGACATAGGGGACAAATCCGAAGGTCCGGATTTCCGGCCTAGGGAATCCATCCCTAGGCCTTGATGGAAAGGCAGAACTCAGATGGACCAAAGTCCAAGACAAGAATGAGTGAAGTCTAAGATGCGAGGGAGCAAGTCTATGTTGATATTTGAACTAAGGAAACTTTACAGGAGTTGTACAGATCTTTATATACTGGAAGGGATCTGAGAGGATCGGTAAGCTGAACACAAATGCTATGTACAAGCATGTGGAAACATATTAGTAAGTATGAACGGAACATAAGTAAATGAACTCAGATATGAACAGAGTACAAGGATCAATAAGCAAGACGGAAACAGAAGTCCGGAGTCAAGGGGATTACCATAAGGAGATAGACGCTGATTTAAGGTTTGGGCTTCGGATATGAGTATAGTTCGGATCCGGAGGTCTAGAGATATCGGATGAGGCGTCTGGATATCGGATGAGCAGATCCGGAGATCTAGGTGAAGACGAGACTAGGATATGGATCATGGATATAGATCGATAGTCTAGGGAAGGTAGAGTCCAAGGTGGAATGAGCTCGGATCCGATAGGACTAAGGGTGGATGGAGCAGGCTTAGCTGCGGAGGTCCAAAGGTATTGATATATGGATGTACAAAGGTGTACGGAATCAAACCGATAGTGGACTGGAGGACTGAAGGCATGGATAAGGGTATGGAGTCATGGATAAGGGTATGGAGGTCTGGATGTGCATCCTGGAAGGCGTCCGGAAGGCGTGGGAACATCATCGGACGAAGGTCCGGAATACGGGATATGACAGTTGTGTAGCACTTGTACATTGTTTTATATTATCATATAATATGATAAAAATACAGTCAGATTTTGTCAACCTTATCTGCAAAAACCATGTTCACCCCAATTTCCTGATGTAAGTATCTGACAACCACTTATCTAGTCTGGCTATTACTCAACTAGCTGACAAAGATTTGATCACCTTCTGTCAACTTGTCACCAGCATGACAACCAATTATCAAGTCTGACTATCATTTGACTAGTTGATACAGACTTGATCATCCTCTATCAGTCTGGCACTTCCCTGGCAACACATTATCATATATTATGAAGTTTGATGAACACTCCACTGACTGACTAAGGTTTATAAACTCCGCCTAGTCATACCATTGACTCCCCAATTTCCTGATGTCCGACCAAGTCTATTACATCTTACAGTTGGATGACAGGATATTCATAATGTGGCGTATTCTCTGACGATACGATACAATTCTTGAGCATTCCGTTCACTCGACCCCGTGAGTATGACCATGGAATCAACACTTGAAAATGGACTGAATGCATGCAACGTCGAGAGCCTTCACTTCCATGTCCCTCGACCGTTGGCTCCTAATTTTGAAGGTGAACACGCTGCAGCCGAGGTATGTCGCTTGATCCATTCAGACTACAGTGCCCTAGTGATATTCCCGGTTTCGAGCCCCGGGCCTAAATAAGGTCCAACTTTGCAGAGCCTAAGCCGGTGGCTCAAGTCATGGCTTCTCCCATTAGTAAGTGCAGTGTATCTTCTTGACTGATAATGTCACCTTTTCGATGTTCATGATTCCAAGCCAAGTGCTCAATTAATGCTAACGTCGGATTTCGAGTAGTGCCACACCTCTAATTCCGTTGAGACTTCGCAGACTCCGGGACCCCAAAGTTGCAGCTTTCGGTCTGACTTGAGATCTGGTGAGCGACTACTAATTTGGTGAATAATGTGACATGAAATACACACACAGTAGGACCAGCCCTGCACTGCGTGCATTAAACATCAAGTCCTCCAATTTCAAATTGCACCTCAGATACATCCATCAATGTTGTGTCGGTTTGCAATCGTCCTTCACTTGCTCGTAGGTTAAATAGGATCCGAGAGGCTAGAACACTGTGGACGACAACTTGCGGACTGGTCACGATCAGTTGGTGATGTGGTCGTGCAAGTTGATGTGCTCACGAGTCTGTGATTGAAACCCACGTGAGCTGCATTCAACGATAAGCACATGGATGGCTGGCCAGATGTACTGCAACGCACCGGGGGAGCCATGGTCAAAATTATGCTGAACGAAGACATGACTTGATAAATAGTAGGAAGTCAGCCCACGGGTAGTTTGGGCGAACAGATTCATCTTACCCATGATACATATCATATATCTCAGCGAGTCGCTGAAATACGTTTCTTGGAAGGGTCCGATGGTATCGCTGTACTTGCTGAATCTGATGTACAAACATCAAGCACAAGAGGACTGATTCATGCATGAGTCCGAAAATCTTCTTGAGAGACAAGACGACTGACCTAGTTCATAGAGTAACAGAGCGGCGTACTCGAAGACACCACCCCTCCCACCCGAGAGAAGACACCTGGCCGGGTCCGCTGTCCACCCTCCATGAGCATGATTGTCACAAAAATCAAAGACCACTTCACAAACGTATATTAATCGGGGACGCGTTTTCGTAATCAAAAACTACTAAGGGAGGGTGCGATAGGATGTAAGAGATCACGAGACAAACCTAGTAGTAGTTCAACATCAAGCCTTCTATGGTGAAATGTGAACGAAAAACATACGACGGGAAAAACCAAAAGGAATGTCAGTAGACGCTTACTCTTCCAGGAAGCATAAATCCTCGTTATTAGCAAGCCTAGAGGAAAAATGTCAACATCGGGAGCTCATTTAAGACATGACATACCCTCTGCGGCTACAATGCAGATGATATGCAACACTGCGTAAGGGGTGGATGAGAAATTAATGTACCGCAGGCTGTGCATGCTAACTGTTTGACGCTTGCCCAAACCTAACACACTGCACGGTTGCTATGATATTGGTACATTGAAGGGGTGTAATCACTCACGCTTTCACCAGGATAGTATTGTGTTCGAAGCGCAGCTATCCATCAGCCATGAGGAATCGTCGCAAAAAGCGAGTTAGAAACACGTGTAGCTCACCGATGAATGTCATCCCAATGCCAAAAAATGGCAAGTATCGTGATACAGTGAATATAAATCGCACAAATGTCCATTTGCGGTGCCAGACCCACAGTGACTTTGAGACGGTCATTAAATAATTAGGTGATCAGCGCACTACACGCACCTCTGCCTCTAGGGTAATGAAATAGTCAAAAATCTAAGGAAGAACGTCAGCACCACATACCGCTGAGTTCAAGTCAGCGATTACACTGACTAAAACAGCAAACGTTCCGACTAGGTATTTCAGTCAGCCACGGTATTCATACAAGCATCAAAGAAGAACAGTACCATTGGAGTACTGGGTGGATTAAGAGTTAATCAAAGTTGTTTAGAGCTCGACTTGTTGCGCACCTTAGATGCCTGAATGCCAGCGTCGACGTACAAAGCAGTAGGGTGACTCATCAAGTTCGTAGAAAGCAGATCAACACTTTTTGTTGTGCGTCACGCCATTTAAGCATCCGACGGCTATGTTGCATTGTTTACACGTTATTGTATGAACGCTGACGCTCATTGATAGTAGAGCGATGATCGCTCAAGGGGCGATTGAAGGTTGTAGTGCTGTGGGAAGAACTCTGCCATTCTGCCAGGTGGCAGGGCAGAACTGTCACTGCCAGGCAGATCGCATTAGAACCTCTCGGGCAGAACGTGGCAGAACTCACATCACGGAAACGGTGAACAGATAAGAAAGTGATCTAAAGCAATATATTGTAGTCTTAGAGCATCGCAACAATCTACATAAATTTGCTGACCACTGTTACATGGCACAACACTACTTGAATAATGTCAAGGCTGTAGGACAAGTTGGATCAACAACCATCGACATCATTCATGCACATGATGATGAGACTGCTTACCTGCAACTTGTCATTGATTCATCAGCAAAACCGCCTGAACCAGAAACTTGAAGGCCCAGCTGATGGGAAAAGGGTTTTGTCACATGCAAACGCCGTTAGCGCCGCTCCACGGTTCCCCCACAAAATTTCTGCTGCTTACGTGTTCTGCATGACGCTCAAATTTAATTTCATCGCATTTCTCCTTCGATCGGTAATGATGTGCGCTTGTGGGATGATCATCTTCCTTCATCGATCATCGAGCCCGCTCCTGTTTTGGCGTCTACCACCAAGGCCTTTGTTCTTCGCAAAACTTCATACTGCACCAAGAAAGACGCAATCGCTGCTGTCTTGGCCCATTTCTTCAGCTGGCGTACCGAGCTTTCACTAATGACTGATGCATGTCTTGTTTGCGCAGTTGTCCAATGCACCATTGCCTGTGGGCTGTATCCCATCGCGGGCCTCTTATTGCCGCTCATTTTTGTGACGTATTCGGGCAACACCGGTTGCCTGCTCTCTATACTAATTTGAACCGCTGTCTCTCACAGCTTTTATCGACGTGGCAGCCACGACATGTGAAGCTTCCACTTCTTTGCATATGCCGTGGCTAACTTTGCCCCTGGCTGATTTGTCGTGTGCCCTTCGCGCTCTGACTCAACCGGCTCGACATAGTCTCATGTGTCCGTCAGCAGCCTGAATGTGTGCGTTCCGTCATAGATACCCAAACTCATCGCGAAGCATGCAATGGGCTTGCCCATGTTATATGGAATCGTGCATTACAGCTCTACCACGCCGGCGCCAACACGTCGGGTAAAATAATCACCGCACTTCTGCAGAGACGATCAGGAAAAGGCGCTAGATTACAATAAGATAGGTCAACCTGGAAGAGGTCTGGTATAATATTCTTATTGATGCGGTGGAGTGAAAGTTGAAGTTGTGTGAAACAAGAACATGTGCAGTGCGTGAGACAACAAAGGTATCAGATTAAGGAATTGGCCGGACAACGGAGTTGAGGACTGGCGTTCGCCGCCGCTACGATTAGCATGTAACATGAGATACATACGCAGTAGGACCAGCCCTAGACTGTGCACATCCCTTGATTAAACATCGAATACCACCGTCGAAAATTGATCTCCTCCAAATTGTAATTCAGATGCATCCGTCAGTGTTGTATGAATTCGTGATCGTCCTTCACTTGCTCGTAGGTTGAAAAGTATCCGAGAGGCTAGAACACTGTGGATGACGATTTGCGGACTGGTGACGTGATACATGATCAGTTGGTGATACGGTCGTGCAAGTCGATGCGCTCACGAGTCTGTGATCGAAACCCATGTGATCTGTATTCAACCATAAGCGCATGGATGGCTGGCCAGATGTATTCCAACGCACCGGAGGAACCATAGTCAAAATTATGCTGAACGAAGACATGACTTGATAAATAGTAGGAAGTGAGCACGCGGGCAGTTTGGGCGAACATAGTCATCTTACCCATGATACACATCATATATCTCATTGAGTCGTTAAAAAACGTTTCTTGGAGTTTTCCAATGGCATTGCTGTACTTGCTGAATCTGATGTACAACATCAAGCATAAGAGGACTGATTCATGCATGAGTCCGAAAATCTTCTTGAGAGACAAGACGACTGACCTAGTTCATAGAGTAACAGAGCGGCGTACTCGAAGACGTTATTCCTCCCGCCTAAGAGAAGACAGTTGCCCGGATCCGCTGCCCACCCTCCATGAGCATGATTGTCACGAAAATCAAACAGCGTATCACAAACGTATATTGATCGGGGTCGTGTTTTTGGAATTAAAAACCAGGGGAGTGTCCGATATGAGATAGGAGACCACGAAACAAACCTGGTAGTAGTTCGACATCAATCCTGCTATGATGAAGGATGGACAAAAAACATACGACGGGAAAAAACCACAAGGAATGTCAGTAGACGCTTACTGTTCCAGGAAGCATAAATCCTCGTTATTAGCAAGCCTAGAGGAAAAATGTCAACATCGGGAGCTCATTTAAGACATAACATACCCTCTGCGGCTACAATGCAGATGATGTGCAACACTGTGTAAGGGGCGAATGAGAAACGTAATGTACCGCAGGCTGTGCACGCTAACCGTTTGACGCTTGCCCAAATCTAACACACTGCACGGTTGCTATGAATATCGTTGCGTTGAAGGGATGTAATCACTCACGCTTTCACCAGGATAGTATTGTGTTCGAAGCGCACCTATCCATCAGCCATGAGGAATCGTCGCAAAAAGCGAGTTAGAAACACGTGTAGCTCACCGATGAATGTCATCCCAATGCCAAAAAATGGCAAGTATCGTGATACAGTGAATATAAATCGCACAAACGTCCATTTGCGGTGCCAGACCCACAGTGACTTTGAGACGGTCATTAAATAATTAGGTGATCAGCGCACTACGCGCACCTCCGCCTCTAGGGTAATGAAATAGTCAAAAATCTAAGTAAGAACATCATCAGCATCCCATACCCCTGAGTTCAAGTCAGCGACTACACTCACTAAAACAGCAAACATTCCGACTAGGTATTTCAATCAGCCACGGTATTCATACAGCATCAGATAAGAACAGTACCATTAAAGTACTGGGTGGGTTAAGAGTCAACCAAAGTTGTTTAGAGCTCGACTTGTTGCGCACCTTAGATGCCTGAATGCCAGCGTCGACGTATAAAGCAGTAGGGTGACTCATCGAGTTTGTGGAGAGCAGATAGACGCTTCTCGTTGTGCGTTACGCATAAGTTCGCCATTTAAGCACCACAACCAATAGCTGTGTTACAGCGTTTACACATCATTGTCATGCCAAGACACGCCAAGCAATGCAACATCAACGCCGACGCTGATCAGTAGAGCGATCAAGGGGCGAATGAATGTAGGACTCTGATCAATAATTATCATTCATGATGATGCGCTACTATGAGACGCCACCACACTGCCTTCAGTGGCTTACCTGCAACTCGCGAGTAAGCACGGTAGAATCTAGATCTAGTCTTGAACTCCAACACTGTATTTTGTGGGAAGGGTGGTGGAAATACATGCCCACTATACTTCGTATCAGTGGGTTTGACCTGGCCTCCCGCAAACAAGTAATATTAGCATGGGCGCCAAAAAATACGCTAGCACACCCCAACGGGAGTATTTATGTAAGTTTCATTGCATCTATGGCACTGCAGTGTTTCAATAATCTTACTGTATCTGCATCATTCTGTCGCCGGTGCGTGCCATAACTGTCGCAGTCGGTTCGAACGAGTTGACCTCACTGCTTCTCGTTGCTGTGAGCTTGGTTGAGGCTAGCACAAATTGGATTGGCCATTGCTGAACTTGCTGCTTCTCGTCAGGGTGAGCGTGGCGGCTGGTAGAGTTTCATGCTCTCCTGGCTGACATGTTCACCGTGACTGTGTAGAGGACTGCATGAGAGCGACGTGTGTCGGTGTTTTTCTGTTGGCGCACGATATCTATTATGCACCTCACCTATAGACATATCATGGTAGGATGCTCTGCCACCCCTCCGCAAACAACTTGAGCGTGCACTTTACAGGATTATCAAGCGTGGCAGAAGAAGGAATCCGAGTCCGCTTACTCAACTTTGGTGGACACGTGGTGCACTTATCTTATCTGCTTACAATTTGTCGGTACGTAACCGCGTTCATTGATGGCCTCCTTCAATTTCGCTGCCTGGCCTCCACAGCTAACTCCAGAGCAGCTAGAAGCTCTGACGCTCGCCGCAACAACATACGCGCTCTCGCATGGATTACTATACCTTCCACCTTCCCAATCATCATCCAATACCCAACCACGTATACCAACCACCGCGATCCATGCCCCCATCTCACTCATTCCAGCGCCCTTCCCCCGTGCTCAATTCCAGGCTGCAAGAGGGCTGCAGAGTGTATATAACGTGCTATACGCACGCGTAGCGATGGATACCCAATTCTTAGATACAGTGATGGGCGCCGAGGAGGGCGTAGGCAAGGCGGATCAGTTCACTGGGACGCTGTGGAGGGGGTGGAAGAAGATAAGGGAGCACGGCGTGGTACAAGTGGGTCTGAGACTTCTTTCTTCTGTCGCATGGCGGGGCGTTAATGGCACGTAGCCGTTGCACCTCGGCCTATTTAGATCGGATTATATGTTGCATGCTGCAGAAGATAGACTTGCACTGAAGCAGGTCGAGTTTAATACTATATCTTCGTCCTTTGGTCCGCTTTCAGAGCGTGCGGCTGCTATGCACAGGTGTGTCCGATTTTCTGGATATCTTTCGTGGAAACTGATGCGGCATAGGAATATCCTGGCATCTACATCCTACTTTTCTACATCTCCGCATCTTACTGCAGACAATTTTCCAGAGAATAACACCACCTCTGGTCTCGCTGAAGGTCTTGCCAAGGCTCACGAGGCGTATGGCGTTCGAGAGTCAGTTCTAACTTCGTTCAAGTATGCATGTATTCGTGAACTCAGATCGACCCAGCGCGCGCATCCTGTTCGTTGTGCAACCCAACGAACGCAACGTTTTCGACCAACGATGGCTAGAGTATGAATTACTCGAAAAGTAAATCCCCATATCTCCTACCATCCACAGACTAACCCAGCACGACAGGCATCAAATCCACGTCGTCCGTCAAACACTCGCCGACCTAGCCGTCTCTGCATCCCTCGACCCCTCCACGCAAGTACTCACCATCACCATCCCTTCCCCAACCAATCCCTCACCGTACGAAATCTCCACAATCTACTTCCGCGCATCCTACACCCCCTCCGACTTCCCGTCACCCTCCTACTACGATACGCGTTTCCTCCTGGAGCGCAGCCGCGCCATCAAATGCCCCTCTCTTCCCCTCCAACTCGCAGGCGGGAAGAAAGTCCAAGAAGCACTCACGCGCCCCGGGGTACTCGAGCGCTTCCTCAGTAACGAAGGTGCAACATGGGGCACACACGCTCTCGATCTCACAGCGCACGCAGCAGACATCCGGGCCACCTGGATGGGCATGTGGGCGCTCGACTCGGAGGATGTTGATATCGCCGCTGCGCTTGATCACCTCCCGGTTTCAGGACAAGGACAAGGAAACGTACCGCCCGGAACACGTTTCGCGCACCTTAAGGCCCCGTCGCTCGTGTTAAAGCCCCAGCGTGAGGGTGGTGGGAACAACGTCTACCGCGAAGCCATTCCTGCGTTCTTAGACGCTCTGCCCGCTGAAGAGCGCGAAGCCTGGATCGCAATGGAGATGATCGAGACGCCACGCGGGATAAGCGGTTACCTTGTGCGCGCGTCTCCGTCGAGTTCGGGTACAGACAACGGGAGCACAGAGAAGAAAGTCGTACGCGCAGAGGTTATCTCTGAGCTGGGCTTCTTTGGGTATGCGTTGTTTGGAGAAGGAGAGGTGGTGGAGAGGGAGGTGGGATGGCTTGTGAGGACCAAGGGGACAGAGAGTAATGAGGGCGGGGTTGCGGCTGGGTTTTCGGTGTTGGATAGTGTGGTGCTTGTTTGATAATAGTGACTCAACCTGTTAGATTATTCTGTAACATGATGGAATGCCAGCATCAAGGCCTGGTTTGCCGGTGTACTCAACAAAATGAGGAGTTGCACCTGTAAACCCGAAACCATACACGACTACTTCAAGCTACTAGATTTCAAGATACTTATATATCTAGCGGCAGGCCGGGACTGTCTGTGTTGGCATCTTTCGGGAGTTTCCAGCCAGCGTGTGTCAGTCTGCCCGCCGTCTTACGTCATCCGCTGAATGTCATCCTAGTCAGCCAATTAAAATCGGTTGTCGTTTATCCCGCCATCGTGCCCGCCTTTTCCCAACCAGCACATAAGGTGTGGCCCAGTGGGTCTCAGGTTCCCATCATTTAGTACTCTGACTCCACTACCAATAACTGAGTCATGCCTACCATGTGACCCCCCAACGGATGTTGGCGCCCTCTTTGACGCCTTACGAGCACACCACGAGCTTGCATACTAAGATGTCGCTTCTGGACCTCACTCGCTTCATCTGTCATACAGACTTACTCAAGGATAAGACCTTGCCTTCTTCTATGACCCAACAAATGAACATCGAACCTCGATGGGCTTTGTGCGAGCGCGTGATGGTAGGGAAGTCATTTTTATTTTGTTTGTGCAGTGTATTTGATTATATATATTTCTTTGGCACGAGTGACACGAATGGGGCGAACGGGGCGAAAAGTCGAAGTCCGAGATGCCGTCCGGTCAAGAACTACAGTTCGAACCAAACTTTGGTTCGGTCATATCGTGAACAGAAGTCATTTTTTTGACTTGGGATTGCAAGGCTGAAACTCCACTCTACTTCGGTTAATCGGGCAACTTGGATGGTCTCCCGTACTTGTAGTCAGACCTTGATAAGGAATTCGAAGACCGCCGTTCTAAGTACCTTCAAGCTTCCTTGATAACCTGCCACTTAACCGTGACGGCCATGCTCAACCGTTATGAACAGCCATACTGCGGACTGCACCGAACGTTGGTCCTTGCCTTCGACATGGGCATTACACACAGTAGTATTTCCTACTGTATGCTCACTCCCGGAGAAGTTCCTATTATCCGCTCTGTCGCCAGGTTGGTCTTTGTGTCCCATCAAGTCGTGGTTTATTACTGACTACTGCGAATATTAGATATCCAGGCCAAGAGCACGTCGGAGGCGACTCGAAGATACCTTCCTTACTATACTACAACACGAGTGGAATTGCCTGTGCCATTGGTGCTGAAACTCAAGGGACGCATGTTATTGAAAGCGCTGAGGAAGAAGGATGGGTGAAACTTGAATGGTGTGTCTGGCAGGTACCAGTAATCTTTGTGTTCGCGTAATTGACCATGTAAATACTTGAAAGTTGGAAACTTCACCTGCAGCCTGAGGCTGTGCACCCTCCCGCCTCTTATACCAGTCACCCATCTCTTCCACGAGGCAAGAATGTCATTGAGGTACTCGGCGACTTTATGCAATACCTCTTTCGTTGTGCACGCACTTATATTGAGGAGAGTCACTGCAATCTTTGGAGGTCAATTGAGAACCACATCGAGTTTGTCCTTATCCACCCAAACGACTGGAAGGGCCCGCAGCAACGACAAATCTGGCTAGCTGCCGTCCTCAGCGGTCTCGTTTCCAATACGGCAGAAGACATGGCCCGTGTTCATTTGCTGACTGAAGGAGAAGCAAAATTACACTACTGCATCTATCATAGTATTCTGGCGTCAGACACACTGTCACAGACACCAATCGTCGCCTCTGATAGCCAAGGTATTGTCATTATCGATGCAGGAAATTGGACCATCGACCTTAACGCCTACTCGGTGACTTTATACCCATTGATGATTGAAGAGATTGCTCCAGCCGAGCGTAAGTCTCATGATATTCTCGAGTCATATCTCATTCTCCATTCATTAGGTCGACTGCAAGGTTATGGATTCGTGACCCGCCGTGCTCGTGGTCTTCTTCAAGGCTTGCCAGCAGTTCCTGTTTTCTGTGTTAATTCCTAATGGAATGACTTGGCAGAAAAACTATCAGGCAGTTGTTTCGGTACACCAGAGATAGTACTGCAGATGACTGACATCTTCGACATGAGCACCAAACTCAGGTTTCGCAACCCGGAAGAGTCATCATTTATCAAATTCGGTACCATACGCGACAAAGATCCCCAGTTCGATATTCGTAACGGCCAACTTAAATTGAATGGGTAAGGATTATAGTCATCCTCTCGGAACCATCGACATCTAACACGTTGCTATTAAAAGACAAGATGTCGCAGAACTCTTCGAACCTTCCATTGCTAGCATTATCGAGGCTTTTGAAACCCAAAGAATGAACGCAAGCATTCCAATTACAGTTAGTCATCCATCTGTTGCACTTAATTGCAAGTGCTGCCAGTGACCGACTGTCCACCACCTGAAGATTGTATCATTCATGGGGGACTTTGCTATGAGCGACTGGATGTTCATAAAGTTGCAGGAATATATTCATTCGCTTGGTATTGCATTCAGTCGACCTGATAGCCATTGGTGAGCACCAGACACAACAACGGTTCAAGCTCACCTATCCTATTTTCAGTAATAAGGCGGTCGCTGATGGTGCTGTATTGTACTATATCGAACAGCTCGTAGCATCGTAGCAACGAAGTAGCACCCTGTAGTTTCTTTGAGTTTGTAGTTGTACTCTCGTATTCAGGTATGGATTTCCTTTCGAACCACCAGATTTGGGAAGCGCCGCTTGTGTAGGCAGAAACCTTGCTTGATCGAAAACTTACTATGCAGTCTGCTTATCCTTCGGGATGACCCTGGTGCGAGAAGTTCGACGCTCCCTCGAAAAATTGCTCGCACAATGCAACGTCATTTGGGCCAGCTCTGGCTTTTCCACTTCCTCAGGTCATTTATTCCGCATTCAAGTCGGTGGAACAACGGAATTTCTACTGTCAGGAGTCCCACCCGATGTCGTTGGACGTTGGACCTCTGACTCTTTCCTCCGCTATTGGCGCTCTCTGGCACCATTGCACGCGGAAAATATTTAGTCATTTCTTTTCGGGCCTGCTTTGCCTTCCCGGTTTGGCTGTGCCTTTGTTTGCGGCTCTGCATTGCCCGTGGCTTTAGGTGGTGTCCTTCTTCTTCCCCTCGGCACACACCTGGTCTCCAGATCAGTCTCTGACGAGCTTTCGGGACGAGGTTATCTGTAGCCCCCGCCCAACTCAGGGAAGGTCCGTCTTCTGTTCACTTTCCTAAGCTTCACTCTATTCCCTTCCTCCTAGTTCACTTAGCTACACCAGAACCCGAAAGTTCGCGTAACCTGATGCTTCGAACACTACCTGAACAGAAGAACGTTATATGTCTCCTGGACAGCCGCTGCACGAAGAATATCACAGTCTTGTAAGTATTATCTTCCAATATCGCTGCTGGAGTCCGACTCAAAAACGTACTTGCGATCATTCTCTTATTTTCCGGTGCGCAAGCTGCTGCACCAGGGAAGAACGTGTAACACTTTACAACGCACTCCCAATGCATGCGTTCGTAATTCTAGAGTGTGATACCACCGACCGTGGTCCCGATACTGAACCGCATGGGATCGTTAAAGATAAACATCGCTCTCCCAGGATGCTCGGAACATGTTGACGATGTTTACATGGGTATGAGGATGCTAGGTTGGGATAATGTGCGCGGAAGCGTGTTCTTGAGGTAGCATGAAAACTTTAAAAATCATGAGAGCAGGTGCGTTGTCATTGGTTGCGTCCTTGGACCGATTTGGAGGATTAAGATGTTTGATTCGTGTGTCATACAGAGTTTCGCGCTTGTACATCAACATATCGTGAACACATGCTGTCAAAAAGGCTTCGAGTCGTGCTATTCCGGTTCGGGCGGGCGATCAGGTCGGTGTGGTGGTGTCTTTTCCCAGCGCATCACAACGGAAGTTTAGATTTGCGCATGTTTCCGGTTTACTACCGTACTCGGAGACCGCCCCCTTACCTCTCCAGCAAGGTGGGAACGAGCCTGGATGGTTTCAGTTTTCGACTTTTCGCCACCTAATTAGCTAGTACACTGGTAGGTATTGTTTCCCACGCTTGCTCATTGGACATATATTCTTTCGGCCAACGCCCAAAGTCTGTCTGCCCGCCGTTTTACGTCATCCTCTGCGCTGTGCCCGCCTTTTCCCAGCCAGCGAGTGCATCAGCAACCACAGCCAGCACATAAGTTGGTTCCCACCATTTAGTACTCTGAATCTAAGAGTCTGAGTCGACCAGCCAACGGATGTTGGCGCCCTCTCTTTGACGCCTTACACACCACGAGCTTACACAGATGTCGCTTTGATAAGGAATTCGAAGACCGTCGTTCTTTCTAAGTACCTTAAGCTCCCGTGCCACTCAACCATGACGGCCATACTTAACCGTTATGAACAGCCATACATCGGACTACACCCGAAGTTGGTCCTCGCCTTCGACATAGGCATTACACACAGTAGTATTTCCTACTGTATACTCACTCCCGGAAAAGTTCCTATTGTCGGCTCTGTCAACAGGTTGGTCTTCGTGTTCCATCAAGTCATGGTTTATTATCGACTACTGCGGATATTAGATACCCAGGCCAAGAGCACGTCGGAGGCGACTCGAAGATACCTTCTTTACTATACTACAACACGAGTGGAATTGCCTGTGCCATTGGTGCTGAAACTCAAGGGATGGATGTTATTGAAAGAGCTGAGGAAGAAGGATGGGTGAAGCTTGAATGGTATGTCTGGTATTATTCGTGTTCGCGTAATTTACCATATAAACACTTGAAAGGTGGAAGCTTCACCTACAAGCTGTGCATCCTCTCGCCTCCGATATCAGTTACCCACCTCTCCCACGAGGCAAGCATGTCATCGAGGTGCTCGGCGACTTCATGCAATACCTCCTTCGTTGTGCACGCACTTATATTCAGGAGAGTCAATGCGATGTACTTTGGAGGTCACTTGAGAACTGCATCGAGTTTGTCTTTACCTATCCAAACGGCTGGGGGGACCCGCAGCAGCGACAATTCTGGATAGCTGCCGTCCTTGGTGGTCTCGTTTCCAATACGGCAGAGGACATGGCTCGTGTTCATTTGCTGACTGAAGGAGAAGCAAAATTACACTACTGCATCCATCATAATGTCCTGGCGTCAGGCACACTGTCACAGACACCAATCGTCGCCTCTGATAGCCAAGGTATTGTCATTATCGATGCAGGAAATTGGACTATCGACCTTTATGCCTACTCAATGACTTTATCCCCATTGATGATTGAAGAGATTGCTCCAGCCGAGTGTAAGTCTCATGATATTCTCGAGTCATATCTCATTCTCCATTCATTAGGTCGACTGCAAGGTTATGGATTTGTGACCCGTCGTGCTCGTGGTCTGCTTCAAGGTTTGCCAGCAGTTCCTGTTTCTGTGTTAATTCCTAATGGAATGACTGGGCAGAAAAACTATCAGGCAGTCGTTTCGGTACACCAGAGATAGTACTGCAGATGACTGACATCTTCGACATGAGCACCACACTCAGGTTTTGCAACCCGGAAGATCCGTCATATATCAAATTTGGTACCATGCGTGACAAAGATCCCCAGTTCAATATTCGTAACGGCCAACTTAAATTGAATGGGTAAGGATTATAGTCATCCTCTCGGAACCATCGATATCTAACACATTGCTATTAAAAGACAAGATGTCGCAGAGCTTTTCGAACCTTCTATTGCCAGCATTATTGAGGCTTTTGAAACCCAAAGAATGAATGCAGGCATTCCAATTACAGTTAGTTATCTATTTGCTGCACTTAATTGCAAGTACTGACCAACTGTCCACCACCTGAAGATTGTATCATTCATGGGGGACTTTGCTGTGAGCGAGTGGATGTTCGCAAGGTTGCAGGAATATTTTCATGAGCTTGGTATTGCATTCAGTCGACCTGATAACCATTAGTGAGCACCAGTAACTAACAACGGTTCAAGCTCACCTATCCTATTTTCAGTAATAAGGCGGTCGCTGATGGTGCTGTATTGTACTATATCGAACAGCTCGTAGCACCGTAGCAACGAAGTAGCACCCTGTACTTTCTTTGAGTTTGTAGTTGTACTCTCGTATTCAGGTATGGATTTCCTTTCGAACCATCAGACTTGGGAAGCGCCGCCTGTGTAGGCAGAAACCTTGCTTGACCGAAAACTTACTATGTAGTCTACTCATCCTTCAGGATGATCCTGGTGCCAGAAATTCGACGCTGCCTCAGCCGCAAAAAATTGCCTGCACAGTGTAACGCCATTTGGGCCAGCTCTGGCCTTGCACTTCCCCAGGTCACGCGTTCCGCATTCAAGTCGGTGGAACAATGGAATTTCTACTGTCAGGTGTCCTACATGTGTCATTAAAGCTCTTGGACGTTGGTCCTCTGGCTCTGTCCTCTCCTATTGGCACTCTCTTGAATTTCTGGCACCATTGCACGCGGAAAATCTTTAGCCATTTCTTTTCGGGCCTGCTTTGCCTTCCTTCTCGGTTTGGCTGTGCCTTCGTTTGCGGCTTTGGGTGGGTGTCCTTCCTCCCCTCGGCGCACACTTGGTCTCCAGATAAGTCTCTGACGAGCTTTCGGACGAGACTATCTGTAGTCCCCGCCCAACTCAGGGAAGGCCCGTCTTTACCTAAGCTTCACTCTGTTTCCTTCCGCCTAGTCCACTTAGCCACACCAGAACCCGAAAGTAACCTGATGCTTCAAACACCACCTGAATAGAAGAACGTCATGATGGGATGGGGTATCTCCTGGACAGCCGCTGCACGAAGAATATAACGGTCCTATAAGTGTATGAAAACTTTGAAAGTCATGAGAGAAGGTGCGTTGTCATTGGTTGCGTCCTTGGACTTATTTGGAGGATTAAGATGTTTGATTCGTGTGTCATACAGAGTTTCACGCTTGTACATCAATATATCGTGAACACATGCTGTCAAAAAGGCTTCGAGTCGTGCTATTCCGGTTCGGGCGGGCGATCAGACCGGTGTGATGGTGTCCTTTTCCAACACATCACAACGGAAGTCTTCATCTGATAGCGCTATCCCGTTCGGCCACTACCAATATCGTTATCCAGAAATCGGCGGGTCTGTGAAGGGCGAACGCAAGAAGAGGGAGTCGGTGGAATCGCGAGTACCCGTTTTCAATTCGCTGGCGCAAATGACTACCCGGAAAGGAGTCCAGAAGATGATAGGTTTATCGTGAATTCCGAAGAGTAACATCGGATAGAGAGGACGACATATACTTATTTACGTTGAACAAACAGGTTGTCGTGGACTTATAATGAATAATCGGTGGCGCAGAGGGCAGCATTGTAGAACCATTGGTCTAAGCCGGCATATCAATAAAAGTAACAGGGATACATGATACAGGAATATCAATCACCAGGGTAAATCCATAGAAGATACCCATGTTTCAGTCTATACATATGTAACAGTTCGCAGGGAAGACATACTGTGTAAGGCTGATAGTGAATTCGAAGGGGAATAATGACCGAGACGGCGTAAACAGAGGACGTGTGTATTGAGAACACGAAAACTGAGTGATGACTCTGACGAGCGATAAAGATGGAGACTTTTCTTGAGGCTTTCAGACGTGCCTGGAGCGGGACAAACACTAAATGTGATTCTGCAAAGGAATAAGAGAGTGTAAGGCTGACTCAACGGCCAAAATGAGCATATAGATGAAGGAAGGAGGCATATGGAGACAAAGGATTGAAGGCAGTGAACAACGAGGCGTACTAAACTAACGTGATTAGGTGAAACGCTACAAGGGAAGCGACGTCAAAGCGGCAGTGAAGTGCTCTATCCTCGGAACCTCCTGACAGAGTATCACTTGGCAGGACAGATCGGTTAAGGTCCACGTAAACAATTTACGAGAGGACGGCCGTAAGGTCACTGAGCCGACATTGACAACGACATTTTAGAATCGACCTGCAGGCCTAGTAACTCGTTCATGTTCTACATCTTGTAACTTATTGCAGTCCTAATCCTTGCTGTATAGAGAGGCCAAGTTACAAGGTTTAGCAATAATAATTCGGGGTTAAACTTGTTTACATAATCAAGTTGAATCGATTCGCGACGCTAGGCCTCATGCATGCATGACTCAGCGTCATTCTTAGAGGCCCCACGTCGCACACTTGTCCCCTGAGCACCATCTGTTTTCGTCGCCCTCCCACCCTATTCTTTCCCTGTTTCGTGAGCATGTCTATCGTGCCTCTGTCACTCATGTCTTTCTCTTTTTGCCTGCTGAACTAGTTTCATTGCTCATTCGAGCACACTTTATCGAACCTCACGTACGACTACTTCGCTTTACTGCCGTGTCATGTATTTATGTCTCTCGGTTCGCATCCGAGTCCCCCGAGCATGGAGCTGGGGGACTCCGCTTGCCTAATCACTGCGAGACCTTGGCGTAAAATTGATTCAACTACATGGGAAGGTTTAGTTAGTTGGGCTCTATACAGCGAAGATTAGGAGGAGGATAAGTACTAGTCAAACTTCGTCTCCTATGGTAAGGTTTACGCGGTGGTCGCCAAATCAGGAAAGATTTAGGGTCTGCGCGCGTAACGGCTGTCAAGTCAAGTCGACAATTGACCAGACCTATATAAAGCATAGCAGTGAGCCGTCATTGCGGCTATAACCATACGGGAAGGAAGCATCTTACCTTGGGAAATGGTGCGCATGAATGAATTCTTGCCCTGGCTGGTTCACAAGTTGGACGTATGTGCCCATATCCTCTTACGAATCATTTGCGATAAGAGCCTAACGAACACCGAGACAGCATAAAAAACACGCCTCTGCAGCTAGCAGTCCCTCCACTAAGCCCTACTCCACTGTCACATGTCAACCTCAGGCTCTAGTAAAATGGCGTCATCACTCACTCTAGTGACGGAGAAAACACACACCACACAAGTGTCACAAACGTTCGAACGTCATCGCGATTTCGTCTCTGTAGTCGCAGTTTCGGCCAACACCCAGCGTATGGTCACCAGTTCAAAGGACAACACACTTTGTCTGTCGGATTTGACGACAAAGAAAGTATTGAAACGTCTCGTCGGCCATTCCAGTCATGTGTCTGGATTGGCGGTATCGCGAGACGGGAAAGTCATAGCAAGCTGTGATATCACTGGAGGGATCATTCCCTGGAACGGAAAATCTGGAGCTTGTCTCATTAATGATCATAATGGCCGGGGAGCCGCGTTTACTAAAACCAAGTTCACTCCCAAACTTGAAACCGGGGTGGTTCACCACTGCCCAAAATGGGGTCACTTCCCATACCAATGAATCTGTCGCTCTTCAACTCATCACAGCCCACCAGTCCAGTGACGTCCATATATCGCTGGACTTTTCGGCTGATGGAAAAATTTTGGCGAGTGCGGGTCACCGTATGGTGAAGTTTTGGTGCACATCTACGTGGAAGGAAAAAGATGCGTTCCCTCTTGATGCAGTTGGCTACTGCGTTCGGTATTCGTCGTCTGGCGAACGTCTTGCCGTCGCGACAGAGAACAATATCTGCATTTATAATCCAGCAACGAGGCAGCGCATCAAAACGCTCAAGGGCCACTCAGGTGGCACATTCGCACTCACGTGGATGCTCCAAGGAACATACCTTCTCTCAGGGGGCGGTAGACACGATCCTACCGTTCGGGTGTGGGATGCATTCGAGGGAGACGAGATCGACACCTTCCATGGTCACACTGACAAGATCAACGTCATTGCTGTCAATGATTCCAGCACCATCATCACTTCCGCATCTTGGGACGGCAGCGTCCGCTTCTGGCCATTCCTGAAATCCAACATACCCGAGGTCTCCGCCGCGGCGCTTTGTGTCACATGCTTCAGCGAAGACGATGACCGGAAGGTATCACAGTGGCTACTACCCTCGCCGGGACTGATGTCGGTATGTTCCCGTTGATTTCTAATGATTTTGTCGTCTCATTTCGCGGATTTTAGACGAAGACTCAAGTGAAAGTTAGTCAAAAGGCATGTTCTCGTTATTGACTCTCATAACGTAATTCGAGCATACCACAGTCCTACACCCTCACCATGGACGAGACCGCCTACACTGTATGCACAACGGGGGGGAAGTTATCTACGGCTTTGGAGATATTCACACGACAAATCAAGGC